AAGGTAGATTCATGAGAAGCACTGCGGAATCATATTTTTGCAGCGGCAGAGAACATACGTCACCATCCAGGCAACATTGCTTCTGCTACCCAATCCCTCATGATGCATGCCGAAAACTGCATTGCAGCTGGCGGACACTTTGAACAATTACTATAAAGCAGGTGCTGTATTTTAGTACTTATGTAGTTGGCTTATACCAGAATGCACAGTCAGCCATGTTACATCAGCGCTTGCCATTCATGTGTCATGTATAGTGTTTGGAAACCTAAGGACAATTATGACATGGCGAGCGAGTATTTTGTACTTTAATTTTATGACTTCATGTCACTCATAAGTTAGTTTGATGTTACGTACATTATTAACATTACAGAAACCACATATTCCTGCCAGTTTTAATATGTATTTTGTAATCAACAAGTGTGTAACACCGGTCAAAGTTTCACACTTCTCTGGCCATTATCTCCGTAACTGTTCAACTTTGGACATAGGTGTTTTGGGTTATATTGACATACTTTAACATAAGGAACACCCTCCCAAAGTCTGGCACATTCCTCCTGGGACACCCTATATATATAAAACTATTGGCCCTTTAGAAACCCAGAGTCAAATACCATGGACCTGTACTACATTTACAAAAATATGACACACAAATTTTCTCTATCTATAAGTATCAGCATTATATTTGCATACATAAAAAGGTAAAGGTGTCCCTGTGCTTAACTAATTATGCACTACGCTATGAAGGCGTATGGGGAAGTGGATGTATAGATCCACATTTTTCTTGACCTCGGCACTAGCTGGAGGTGAGTGGTCAGCTTCATGCCCCTGCCACTTCAACCCCAGGGGAAAGAGACCCTGGTACCCATTGGATAGGAGGCTGGGTGGGCCCCAGAACCGGTCTGGATATGAAGAGAAAATTCTGACCCTACCGAGACTCAAACTCTGACCCCTCGGTCATCCAGCCCATAGGCAGTCCCTATAACAACTGTGCTATCCCCATTCCATTTGCATACATTCCATTCTGTTTTATCTTTTACGAGGAGTATATTCAAATACAATATAGTTTACCTACCTCTGGCTGTGTGAGGTACTGAAGGAAAACTAATACTGGTGCTAAATTTTCATCACTGAAATCTCTGACACATGGTGTAGTCTGACAGAGGAAAGAGGACTCTATACAACCTAAACCAACAACACAGCTGCTGTTGTTGGGAGCAAGAATTAACGTCCAGTCATCTGTCACATGCAACCTGAAATGATCAATATGAAAAGGCTGGATAAGATAGCAAAGATATTGGACACACACACAATTATTACATAGTTTACTACATTTCCTTCAATTTCTTGTTAGTCTGTATGTGTTTAAGACACCAAACACATCTATACTTTGGTGTAAAGTGGACTGTAATTACTATTTCTTCCTGTATGGGTTTTTGTTTTATCTTTTGGTCTTTTAATTTGCTAGTTAACCATGCAAATCATCCGTCTTACCAAGGTAATTAAAGGACTAAGTTATTTACAAACATCTACATTTGTTCGCTTGAGAAAACAATGATGTATATTCATCCAAGGCTTTATGCCTCAAAGTTGCACCTCTGACCATTCCCATTATGCTATTTCATTTATGAAACTCACTTTTTCTTCTCTGCAACTTTATCAGCTGGCAAGACGTTTCTCCATGGCTGTACCAAGTCACCTACTTTATTTGCCAGTTGATCAACATTTGCGGCCAAGTGGATTACAATGCTAGATGGATCTGTGATGATCTGATGCACAGATTTTATTTCATTCAGAACATGTTCACATTTTTCTTTTGAGTCCAGTTTCTCAATCAGTGCAGTAAGAAACTTATGCTGTCTAAGCATGCTGGATGAATAGTGGTTACTATCTGCAGAGAAACATTAGCATTTAGAATAATTAGAGATACCACATATAAATTGAATGGATAGAAATTTTACCAATAATGTTGCTTCACTTCATTTATGGATGCAGAACAGATATATGTCCATAAATTTTACCCAAAAAAGGGAAAACAGAAACAATTTTGTAGATATTCATAAAATTAATACAGTATTTTCTTCTTCTTTTTTTTCTCATGGAAAATGTTACATAAAATCTGTGCGTGTATTATACTGAGGATGTATCCAAATACAAACTTCTCCCTCAAAAATCTATATTCATCTTACAGTCCATAAAATATGGCACACATGTAATAAGATGAAGTAATACAATATATACACACACACACACACACACACACACATATGTTAAGGACAACAGTTATCATAATAATTAAAATCTCGTTTTTATAAAATACTATCACACTCCACTAATTCTGGAATGCATATCTGGAAACAATAATGCCAATTTAATTTCCATTACATTGAGTAACTTTTGTATAGTACTTAGGGACATGCATTCCTAAAACCATACTTCTGCTTTCAAATATTGTTTTCTTCGCATTACTGAAACAATATTATAGACAGTACATGTTTTAAAAAATAAATAGAATGGCCATATATTGTAATTAGTACTCTCAACTCCAAATATGATCTCCTTCTGTCCACAGAAGCCTGTCTCTAAATGATGACTATCTTTCCCATTTCCACTCGAAAATATACTATCATCTGGTCTCATATAACCTCTCTCGTTCCTGCCACATGTATTTATTTTTTTACTGCTAGTAGGGTAGGACTAAGCCCCTTGTACTGTGGCCACTTCTGGCCTATTGTACCAGCCCCAGATGATAGGTGAGGGTGATTGTGGGGCAATTGGTGGAATGAAGATTGGCAGGGGAAACTGAAGTACTCGGAGAAAACCTGCCCCAGCGCCACTTTGTCCACCATAAATCCCATTTGACCAGACCCGGGATCAAACTCCGGCCACCGCGGTGGGAAGCCAGCAACTAACCACTATTCCTATTGTTATATTTTTAATGAACCTGACCTATAGACTCAAAGTTCCAAATCATTTCCATTTTTTGGGTCCTGAGGATCTGTTCAAATTCAAGGTCCTGCTTAACATTCTGTAACATGCTAATTTTTACAGCAACAGATCGCTACTTACCATACAATCCCTAATTAAAATGAAACAGTGATAATCCAAAAGACTATGTCTTGAATACACAAAGCAGTCCAGAATTATGTACCTTTGCTGTAGCAGAGCCCCCTCATAAGATCTCCAGTTACTTTGTTGCCTTTTCTCTTAACTTGTGCTACATCATTAGCAATCTTGGCAGCAATGATCTTAAATCTCTCAGCCGTAAATTGGGTCTGATAGAGCAATTCTCTGATCCAATTGATGCAACGTTCATATTTGACGGGTTCAAGCTAAAACAGATAAAGACATGCAATATCGCCATGCAACTGAGACAGAACTGCACTAATATGACAGCGTCGGTCATGTGGCAACAGCCCATTTTACAAAACACACTCTTGTGTACAAAAGTTACATATATCACATTAAGTTTTTGTTTAAATCTGAATACATATGTGAGATTACAAGAACCAAAACCCATGACATGAAAGCAAGTCCTGTTCTTTACGTGTAAGACAATTTCAATAAAGTAGCACTCCATGTTGTGTGTGTCATTTAATTTCTCAGAAGAATAGTAGTAACGTCTTAGTATGTGTAAAATTAAACATAACAGTGCACTGTTGTGCTTATATAGGTTCAGTGTTTAGCAGTATTAAGAGATACAGACGAACTGTAAATTATCTTATAGCATTTAGCAGTATTAAGAGATACAGACGAACTGTAAATTATCTTATAGCATTACTCATCAGCTTAAATGTTTATGATTGAAGAGTAAACAGAACTGAGAAGGTTACATGCTCAAGTTCATAATTTGTGTCACCTGGGTTTCAAAACCCTTCCACTCACTGCACTACATATACAGTGCTCAAAATGGGATCTCAGGTAAAAGAAGTGAAGTGTGTGGTCTGTTTTCAGAGATGAGGTGTGTGATTATAGTATAAAGAAGTTTCTGATCCACGAATGTTAACTGGAGTATCTCAAGGAGTAAATCCTCACGTAGCGATTGGGCACATAAGGGTCAGTCCCAAGTTGAATGTACTTTGTGTTAAAAACAAGATATTCAGGCTCTTTTTCCACTGATGATTCAACTATGGTTCATATTTACCTATACATGCTGGAACAGCAAATGATGTCCATTCCTCGTTATTACTTCCAATCTATTCACAAAACAGAACTCACGAAATACCAGCCACTAAACAAAATCCAATTACCAATGCATTTCAACTGAAGTCAGTGGACCTGTGGTAAGATGGTGAGAGTATTTCTAGAGGCCTGTTTGTAACATGCAGAACACATGACTACCTGAAGCATAAGAGAAGCTGTATGGGAGTATGGGCCACATTGGAACCTAGACAAAGCCTCAAGCCCAATTCCAGTTGAAGCTGTGATGGTGTCTATTTCTAACTGCGCTACGACCTCTTCATACGGGACAAGTACATCGCCTCGTTTCACAGGCAGCTCCAGTAAGGATTCTAGAAGAAGAGGTAAATAAGGGCGAAGCTCACATGGTACTCCAGCAGTGTCCATTAGGATAAACATCTGCAAAAAGGAAACAGAACCATTCAAGCATCTTCTTTAAATTATTTTTAAACAATTTAATCTTATAAATTAATACACCTGCTAATGACAAAGTTGGGCTGAGACATGGTGTGAACAAATAAGTGGATTTACTAGGATTAGCAAAGAACAGCCACACAACTGCTAAACATTAAAGTTGCAAAAAAGACAACATTTTAAATGATCAAATTAACTTCTTAAATGCATTGCTACTTCTTATTCAGATGTGTTTCAATAATGTTCTACTTGTTGCTGCTCTTATTTGGTTGAAACACCTGCATTATTGGTTCATCTATGGTGTCTAAAGCTCATATATTTGGTGGCGATGATATTTTCTTAGGGTGTAATTCTGTTATGTTTCTAAATCTTAATTTATACGTTGCAACCGAAACATACTATCATCATGTAGAACAATTCACATAAGGAAAACTAAATAAAAATACTTCTGTATCATAGGGGTTCAAGTGTATTCTTGAAACAACTGGCATTGAATAAAGAGGAGAGTCAATAAACAGGTAACAAATGGATATCAAATATAAACACATGATATTCGAACCTGGAAAAAAACATTTATTTCTCGAGATATCCTCCAGCAACATTGATACACTTGTCCCATCGCTTTATCAGTGCGTTGAAGCCCGCAGTATAGAGCTTTTTTGATTGTTGGCTCAGCCACTTCTGCACCTCTATTTCAACCTCTTTGTCATCAGCACAAGGTTTACCACCAAGGTGGTATTTTAGCAGACAAAACAGATGGAAGTCACTAGTAGCCGAGTCTGGGCTGTAGAGCAGATGGTCCAGAAATTCCCACTGTAGTTCTTGAATTCTCTCATGGGTTGCTTGGGCTGGACGGGGGCTGACATTGTCATAATGAAGCAGTACTCCTCTTGCCAGTTAGTCTGGACGTTTTCTGCGAATTGCATCCCAAAGTTTCAATGGAACTTCACAGTATGATGCAAAATTCACATTTTCACGACACTTCTGAAAATAGGCTCACACTGCTCCCTGAAAATCCAAAAACGTGGTAAGCACAACCTTCCCAGCTGATGATGTAACCTTAAACTTTGGGTTCAAGCTGAACTGCGATGTTTCCATTGCACTGAAGCACATTTTGATTTCGGTTGGTAGTGATGAACCCATAATTCATCCTGAGTAACAATTGAGTTAACCATATCTCTCCTTCATTTGCATATCGTAAGAGATTTTGCAAGGACAGACCCATTTGGTTCATTTCTTCTTGATCCTTCAGTTCTCTGGGCACCCACCATGCGCACACTTTCCAAAATTTCAAATGATCATGAATTATGCTGTATGCTAAACTATGGGAACACCCTAGTGCATTGCTACACTGTCTATCATTAACCTCCTGTAGTTCGAATCAACTCTTCCACACACTGCACACTTTCTTCTATCACAATCTCAACATGGTTACCTGGTTGGGCATCATCTGCGAATTTTGAATGTCCTTGAGAGAATTTCTCGACCCAGTTGTGAACTGCTTTATGCGACGAACACTCACCATAAAAAGGAAACATTTCTTTATGAATATCCTTTGCACTGAATCCTTTTGCTAACAAAAAACACACAAGAACACTGTTCTTCAGTGGTATACGCCTCAAGCACAGTTGCCATTCTGACTACTGAAACTGGCCACTGAATATTCACATGCACTTTTGCTACCAACAGTCGTGAAGCTGGACTCTGCTGCTACCTAGTGATACATATAGGAAACCTATTACATCCATTACAGCTGTTTTACTTCCATTTTTTACCTATTTACTGACTCTTCCTCATAATAACAAGCAGTATAGACGAATCTCCTCGCCTAAACCCTTTTCAGCGAAATACCTGACATTACAACAACAGTTGATCCAGGATTAAATGATAATAGTTAATTTTTGCTTTTCTTTGGAAATACTGTGATAGCTGCCTGATTACATTCATGCATTCTCTGCTGAGACAACAAAACTGATTCAAAATATAATAGCCGACTGCTGAGAATTCAAACTCTGACAGACACACTGGGAAGATTTGCTATATAACATGCCTACTTTGTGAGATCTAAGGTTCTCATTGGAGGGCTTATCAAAACTATTGTCTTCTGGAATAGACTGTTCTTCCGAAACATCTTTAAATACCAGACTACATACCAAAAGACAGCAACCTTCATGTCCACCTTGGATTTTAAATTGATCTAACTTAGATCAACTAGATGTAAGACATTTTCCTCTGTGATAAACACATAAACACACAGCATTAACTGATCACTTACCTAATTCTATAGCTCCATGACACTATAAGGCCATTGGTATCCACAAGGACAGGTGTTATATAAAAATGATTACTATATGAAGGTCCTGAAAACTATTTGTAATCTGAAAAAAAAACACCTGTTTACTGTAGAGCCTGATTGCAATCTTATGACACCTGTATGAAGGATGAATTCAAATCCATCTATTTAGTCATGTCCCTAGCCCACACCAGAAGGTTGTTGGGTTAGCTGGTCACAAGCATTAGAGAGTTAATATCGCTTTGCATTACCAGTTATCTTCCAACTAAAATCACTGTTCTAAACAGAGTACTTGTTCAGAACTATGTAATACACAATTACTGAAATCAAAAAGCTCATATTTAAGTTGATGGGGGCCAGGGATGAGGTGCTTTCCACCCGTTATATGAAACTGGTGCAGTCAGTTTGGTGTCTTCTTTACACTTAAGATGCCTAGAGCAGAAGGTCATCTTAACCTGCCTGCAAATTCAGTAATAATATTGGACAACACATCTCACCACAATACTCAGATTGATAAGCCACCATCTATTGATATCAGGAAAGATATCATGAGGAAGTGTTTGCATTCCCATGGCATCAATTATACAGAGGATGCAACAAAGATCAGATTACAAACAAAAACAAACTCCATGGCTTTAGTCTGCAAGCAAACTATACCGACCCAGCGACCACCACTCGTCAGCGAAGTTTAGTGCCAACATTAGCTGACAGAGGTGTCGCATGGTCAGCGCAACGAATCCCCATGGCCGTCAATCTCGGTTTTCTAGACCAAAGCCTCTATTTCCTTGAAATAGCTCCTCAATTATCCTCATGAGGCTGAGTGGAACCCATTCCAGACCCACTACTTCTCAGAAAATATGGTAGCGCCAGGAATCTAACCCAGCACCTCTGGATGTGTAGCCAGGAACTCTGACCACTAGACCATAGAGGCAGTCGCAAAGATCAGATTATTTAAAATATTTAAATTGAAAAAATCGAGATTCCAGACATGTACACTGTTGACAGCATCCTGGCACGGCATGAACATGTTATTCTGTTTCTACATCCTTACAATCCAGAGTTATTTGAGGTATTGTAAAAATCTGGGTGGCAGCAAATAACGTGACTTTCAAGCCAGTGGCTATAAGGAAACTGAGTGAAGACTTTTCATTGACAACAGAAGAATGGGTGTCAACATTTATACCAAGAATGAGCAGATGATGTATAATATTCTTGAGAATTTGATAAATGTTAGGTCATCTTCAGATTTGGACACAAACCATGATGATGAATACGGAATGGTTATGTAATCACTGGAATCCAAATAATGAAATTAAGTATCAAGACAGAAAAAAAAGTATCCCTGTAACAAATTATGGAGGCCCATACGGTTGCGACATGTTCAGGCTCACACATTTTTTTAGATAACTGGCTCATAGATGGTGTAAGGTTGTCAGCCTTAGAAGCTGGCCACCCCTCACCCCTACAAAGATTCCTGGTATTCATTTCTGTTAGAGACTAAGTGGACCCCAGGGCCATAGTGCAGCTGGAAGGATTAGGTCAACTGAACATTCCAATGACCTCATCTGGAAACAGGAACAAAGACCCCTATGTTTAAAAAGAGAGATGAAACTTGTCCAAGCATGTCTGATCCCTCCACCTGCCCACCTTTATCACCCCCATTCCTCTCATGTACGCTAAATTTTAAATAAGTAGCGCATAAACACACTGGTGCCACAAGACTGTAATCAGACTCTACTGACACTTTGTATGGTGACAGCTGTACCACAAATATACTTCTGCAAGAGCGAACTTACATACACAAAATTGGTGTGCACACTGTCAAGGTGCATTTGAACTGGAACTTCAGATAATTCAAATTTTGAATGTTGCTCAGCTGAATCAGTTGTAAAGCACTGGATTGGATGAAAGTTGATAGAGGAAGTGCTCGGAATTGGTATCGAAGTCAGCATGTCACGTGGTGGAGGTTTCTAAACAACAAAGACTAGCAATCAAACACATTTCACTTCATACAAACATCCAAGAAATAATATAACAAGTCTGGATACAGTACAGCCAAAAAAACATCATGAAATTATCTCCTTTACAACAAAGAAACAAAACAACTGATGCATCAAATGGGAACTGAAGGTTCATATTTATTTTGATGATGATGATGATAACTTTCTATGTAAGTCATTAAGGTCTGTCCCCATGAATGCCATGATAGTATTAGTCTCTCCATCATCATAGCAGATCTTGTTATCACCTTGGTTGCTCACAGAACACCAACTGTGAAATGCAGCCTCTTCCATTCTTCCCAAATGATTTTCATAATTTTATTGGTATCCTTGTACCTCTGCAACTACATCCGTTATCTTTGAAACTTTCTCTGATGTCCAAATTTCTTTGATGATCTATTACAGCGAAACCTGGCAGTGGTCTGAAAAACTGTTTGTGGTACCTCTCATTTTTTGGATTCATTTTGGTTTCAAATCCACACATCACTACCACAGTTCAGCAGTGCTCTTGATGCAGTGATATGGGAACATAATTTTGTATCAAATGACATTTGTGTGCCAAAGTGTCTTTTACTCACAATATTTACTACGTTTTACTTCTGTAACTTCGTAACACAGTATTGGTCATACTAAGCAAAAAAAAAAAATGTATATGTACATATGTCCTAAGGGGAAGCAACAATAGATCATTCAAGGTCGCAATGCCAGGGCCGGATTTTATGGCCCACCCCTTACACACATACTCATACATACATACATGTTCTATTCTGAACAGTTTCCGAGATAGAGCTATTTCACTGTGCAGTACACTGTACAGACAAGCAACTGTACCAACTTTGTCACTTGAAGAATAAATACCAGTATCAGAAACAGCATGTAATATCTCTTTCTTTATCAACAATTTTGGAACTGTACAGTGAAATAGCTGTATCTTGGAAACTGTTCAGAATAGGACACGTGTACATATACACTTTTTTGCTTAGAATTACCAATATTATGACCTCCACCAGAATATTGACCTATCTTCCTGGGACACCTGTATATTATATTTCCTAAGTAAACAAAATCAGACACAGTACTTATGCTGTTACATTTCCATCTATTTCCATTTTTACTCTTTGAATATTTCTTCCGCAAGTTCCCATTACTTAGTTGTGGATGTGAAAACTTTGATATCATATTTACGTGCAATTCTGATTAGTTGGCACTGTCATTTGTTGCTCATCTTCAGATTCTGCATAAAATATTGAGTTACTCTGTTCCATGTCAAGTGGATTACGTTTTTTGCAGTGTTTCCATATCTTTGTCATTTGGCTGATGTACACTTCTACTAAACAGAGTCAAGGACAGTTCACACCCCCCTCATGCTCCTTTATTGGTATAATGGGTTTGGAAATTTGTTTCGTTGAATACTTAACACAACTGCCTAGTTTTTAGTATAAACCAATTATTGCTTTTATTAAATGCATGTGGCCATTTTCTTCTGTGACATCAGACATTTATTTTTAATTACAAAAAACTATCATTATATAAAAATGTCTAGTTGTTCCATAAAAATAATCATAACACATTTAATTCGCTTAGTGGGGGGTGGAGTCCAACTGGGTCCTCTCGGCAAGGCAGCCACTGATTGACCTATTGTAGTCTCTTCCTGGGTGATTATGATGGAGAATTTGGTGGAATGAAGATTGGCAAGGAAAACCGAAGTACTCCACAAATCCCACTTGACCAGATCCGGGATCGAACCCAGGCCACCGCAATGGGAAGCCAGCGACTAACCACTTGAGCTATGGCGCGGCCTATCGTAACACATACTCTGGCAGTTGTCAGATTTATCATGGGACATGTGTAAGGAAACTATCAAAGATCTAGTAGTTACACCACTGTTTAGGACAAATCTGAAATTAGAGATGTGTTAGCATCCATGATTCTTACCATAATTCTGCCTTACACATTGCTCTTGCCTATTCAAGTGTACTCTACACAAATTGGGAAATCATTACTATTGAGAATGGGCAGATTTTAGGCTCTGATAGGACATTTCAATCAAACTCATGTAAGAAACATATATGGCTCTCAGTTCCATCAATACTATTACAAAACTCTTTAATGAAGTGGATTACAGAATGGCCTTCATATGGGCTCATATCTGTGTCTCAAAATCATCTATTTGAGTTTTGATTCTGGGAATAATTTTCAATATAAAACTCATGAAAAAACATAGCCTGTGCTTCATACAAATGTCATTAAATTTTTTAAATGTGGAACAAAATTGGATTTTTCCAGTATATTTTTATGAAGAACAACAATATTAAACTTCATTAGATCAATTCATCCAGAGTGAAGATGGAACATAATAGAAAAACAACTCACTTCATTTTCAACTGTCGCCTGTTGTAGCTGTTCACCAAGTTTCGTAAGTCCCTCTTTTCCAAATTTCTGCCGCTGCTCTGAAATACGCTGCTTCTCACTTTTGGCCATCAACTGCTGCTCCTCTAAACTAGGATATCCCCTTATGGTCACACTTGGACCATCAAGCAAATACATTTTTAAAAGTTGTAACCAAAATTCTTCTGGCTCTTTCTCCATTTTATGTAGATCTTCCACTGGATTCAGCCGCTGACTAAGCTGTAAGAAGAAGAAATTAACAGTGAAGAAACGACTCCTTTCATTAGCCCAACACTTAACTACAGATTCATACACATTTCAAGCTACAATAGCATGAGAACTATAACGACATTTTGACATGTTACAGCACTGACTACAAACATTAACCTAACAACACGCTTAAATACTAATATTCAGAGCAGATTTTCATATATATAATTTTTAGTTAGCTAAACTGATTCCAGAGAATACTATTTGTTAAAGAAAATTCTTAATACAAGTTCATTTCAGGTTACTAAGTGAAATGTCATTGTAGGACATACAGGGAAATGGATAAGGATTTTAAAAATATTTCATAATATCAAAGACTATTATTTAAATGTTATATTGTAGTTTCAGCCCCAACATCACCTCCTGATGGTGTGCTAACTTATAGGGATGTATGTTCTGAGGCTCAGTTAATAACATTCTAACCACAACATCAAACTTTCAGGTATATACCAGACTTAACTTCCTGTTTGACAATAAACAATTATGGACTAGTGCATCTAAATTCTTCCACAGACAGATTTTAAATTTTGTGTAATGTGGTAATCCAAATTGGTATGTTGATTAAAAATATGAATGTGATATTGATTTCATTAATCCCAAACAAACGAATTCCATGGCTTGAGTCCACAAGCGAATTATCCCACACATAATAATAGTGAAGCAGGCTTGTGAGTACAATGAAACACCAGGGGTTGCTCCACAACTTCTACTCATTTACATCACTGTTTTAAATGTTCCGCCATTTAGATAGGGTTCCCAGGCCACACAATTATAAAGTCTCAATATTACTATTCCTCAGAATCTGTTAATAATACTGTGACATAACAACTGAATACCGGAAGAGTTTAACAAGAAAAGTCATTCACTGCCAGGCAATGGCCAGTATACACATTTCCACGTCAACCAACACATGTTCCCATATAAACAATACCCAGGCCATTGCTATGCAACAGGCCTGTTAACATATCACTCAATTCAATTCAATTCAATTCATTTATTTCATCCATAGCTGTAGAAATTACTCAACAATGGAGACAATCTTGGAAGCAGTACTTTCTACGCAGTCAATGTCAAGGCTACATAACAAGCAGACAGGCTGAGTAGCAGTCAGTTATGAGGCAGTCACCAATCAATAAAGACATGAGTACAGAAGCAGAGGAATATCCATTGTTGGGAGCCAATACCTAGCAATGACCAGTGATGATTATAACAGACAGAGACTCAGCATGTGCTATAATGATCTGCAAAGTGTTTAGATTAGTAACAGCATTATAATAATTTGTAGTTACTAGTTATAAGTGTTCAATAAATCCAAACTCCATGTCCAATCACTAACACGTAACATGTCACAATACATTAAGGGATGGGTGGTAAGGTTCAGTATTTAGACAATCCATATAAAACTGGAAATGTCACAGAAAGAAGAGGAAGATCGGTACTAACATATCTGAGGAAGCTACTGTCTCTATCTTAAGGGAAAAGGGGCAGCAAGTTCTTCCAAAGCACCGGTGCCTATCTACCAGACTACATGGCGTCACAGCCCAGAAGACCATAATCTTGAGACTCAACGGTGAGAATTTCCAGTCTCACATAATGATGATAAACATTTTTTTAACTTTAAACTCAAACTTGAATCAAATGGAACTCAAACAGCCTCCGTAGTCTAGGGGTAACGTTCCCACCTCATGACTCAAGGTATGTGGGTTCAAACCTGGCGGAGGTCGTGGAATTTTTAAGGGCTGAAAAATTCAGGGAACAAGTCTTCCGGGAGTGACTTTAAGCCGTGGGTCCCATGTCACAGATTTATGGCACATAAAAGATCCTCATGTCTCTAGGAGACCTCTAAGCAAAATTAGGCAAAGTTTCCCGCCCAAGTAGTTTCCAATGCCTCCGGCAGATGGGGAAGTTATTGGGTACCACTGCCAGCCTCACTGGCTGAACGGGGCTGATAGCGAGCACCAGTATCGGCAGGGTATGGCGACTGGTAGAATATCAAAGGAGGACATACAATAGACTATTAGTCGCAGTGCATGGGGAAACCCACCCCCTCCAATAATAATAATAAAAAAAAAATGGAACTCAAAATATATTTCCACTAATTTATTTTATAGTCGATATCATGAGGAAAGCAATTATATCACAACACAATTAAATCTGTTATAGATGCCAGGCATGCAATATAAATTTACTGTGCATTAGTAAGTGGAATTGTATATTTCTGACTTGTATTTCTTGGATCAAAGAATACGACAATTACATCTTCTTTGGTGTTACCATACAACATGTCCCCAATGATCATGAAAGTGACTGTTTCATGTGGACTGTTTTCCAAGTGACTCAAAGACTCCAAAATATGTTTGTGTATGACTGTATGCATCCTCCTCATATCCAGCTGCTCACTTCCACTGGCAATTGCTCCTAGAATTTCAAACAGGCGATTCTTCACCAAATCAATTTTCTCTGTTGGAACATTTTCGAACATTAGATACAGCATCGATTCGGAGTTCTCTGTCAAGCAACAGGAAACCTGCAATAATATAATGAACATGTGTCAAAATGTTATCAGTATGAACTGAAGAAATTGTAAGGAAAACAGGTATAAACTTTCTGAGGGCAGTCATAAAGACATTGTTGACATATCATATACAGACAAAGTTATTTGCTAACACAAGTCACCTTATATTCTCGCACTGTTGGACACTTACGTACTCATGGAGCTGAGCCCTTCTGGAGGAGCTGCCAATTCTACAGCTACTCAAGAATTTCCCAGCATTTTATGGAACCCGAAGGTTCATTACCATGTTCACAAGAGCCCTCCACTGGTCCCTATCCTGAGCCAGATCTATCCAATCCATACCATCTCTCTTAATATCCATTCTAATATTGACCACCCACCTACGCCTTGGTCTTCCCTGTGGTCCCTTTCCTTCTGGCTTTCCCACCAATATCCTATATGCATTCCTCGTCTCCCCCATTCGTGCTACATGACCTGCCCACCTCATCCTCCTTGACTTGATCATTCTAATTATACTTCGAGAAGAGCACAAGTTATGAAGCTCCTCATTATGCAGTTTTCTCTAACCTCCTGTCACTTCATCTCTCTTCAGTCCAAATATTCTCCTCAACACCCTGTTCTCAAACACCCTCAGTCTACGTTCCTCCCTTAATATCAGAGACCAAGTTTCACTGGACACTCAATTTCAAAAGATTGTAAAAGATTGTATTACAAAAGGGAGGCTGCATAACATAAAAGCCATCTTTTCTTATTGCTGGGAATATGGATTCTCCACATAGCCTTAACTATAATTAATATAACTAATATTTAAAAATGAAAGACAGACATTTCTTTTAAAATTCTCACATAATAGCTGCACTACGTAGTAAAATTAAGAGAATCCTCCATTTAGACACAACAAAAACAGCAACATGTTATTTACAACTTAAATACCCACAGCAAAGAGAATGGCAGCATTACTCACTACTGTTTCAAATGGAATAGGCAGGGGATTTATTTTGTATTATGGTGAATTCAGCATTAAAAATAAATTCAGATTCTTGAAACTTACAATGTAATGGGAAAAAAATTGATCTCCTCTGACATGCATTTGTGCTCATTCTAACAGAATAAAAATTCTGAACAAGCCGCATTCTGTATGTGTAGTCCTAAGTGAATGGTTTAAGAAGACCAGATTTGATACAGTACAAACAAAACTCAACGAATCCACTTATCTGCTCATCCATGAAGGGTGAAAAACCTCAGTCAAAATGTGGAAAAATCTTTGAATTTATTAGTTAATATACCCTCATGCTTTTTTTTTATTTCTCCAGAGATGTTGAACAGAAAATCTGAAGAGTCATTGATCTTTATATGCATACAATAATATGTAGCAAATGAGACGCAATTAAATCTTGAATGTTACGTGATGGGAAGTAGACTAGTGAACACCAATTACAATGGTGTGTTAGGCATAGTTCTCCTTGTGAATAAATGTTTGGCATGTAGAATATTTCCCTAACCGCTGAACTCATATAGCCAACATTTTTTGATGCCAGGGTATAAATGAAAATCCCACATTCTGCTTTGTACAACATGGGTTCACATTATGCAGTTTGTGAAGGACAACCCAAATGTAAATTTATATGTTGCTATCTCTGCACTAAACATGTTACATGATCAAACGTAAAACAAAGTCATGTCTTATCTTCAAACAAAGAACTGTTACCTTGCTTGCATAAGGATCATCCGTTTCAACAAATTCCTTCTGGAGAGGACTCACAGGAGTGTCAGTCAAGTACCTCAACAGGATTAAGCACGCATCCATCCTAACAAAAGGAAGAACAAATTCATCTAATCATGGAATTACAAATATGAAATTTAGTAAATAAACTGTGTAAAATGGTATAGGCAAAGTTTTAAGCACAGTTTTCATGTATTTCATAGAACGAGCAGGTTAAATTAGTTGAGCTTTATGAAAATATCTGAAATTATCCTGACAGAGGATAAATTTACTGTGAATCCCCTCAGTCACTCTAGCCAAATATCTGGATAGTATGTTCTGATTTACGATTTGCCAATAATATAACATAATTACAGATTGTTGATGTTACTGTCTCTGTAGCAGGCCAATTCTGACTCAAACAGATCACATTTTGAGTGAATACAGTACACATTATATGCAAATTGCACTGCCATTTAAAGAACCTGAAGGGCTGATATTCTGTTCACAATAAATCACTACTGAATTCTACCCTGAGCCAGATGAATCCAATCCACATCTCCATCTCCTATATTTGTAAGGTACACTGCAATATCATTCCATTCTATGCAAGGTCTCCCATGCGATCGTCCCCTTCAGATTTTGCAAATAAAATTTGATATATACTTCTTGTCTCTGCCATGTGTGTTACACACTAATAGATTAGTTTACCATAGAACAGTATATGAAAAAACATTTAAAAGAAAACACAGCTGTCAGTTTCAGGGTTCAAAAAAAATAAATATTTTTAAACCCACTACCCAATTAATATTCATCAGGTTCCATAATCAAGGACATCACCTGTATAGCTCCTTAACAGCTGAAGGACCACGCCATGCAATGTATACCATTCCATTGTCTTCTTCGTCACACGGATATGGCACTTTCAGGTCAACAGACTCTTGCAGTGGTGGCACAGGTGACTGCCATGGTCGAGTGAATGGTCCTCGATTGCCCTAATCGGAACACACACAAAGTATTATGTTCACAGATAGCATTTAAGAGATATCTTGCATGTGATCAGCATACACTACAATCACAAATATACAACATGTGAGATTTGAAGTTCTCATGAAAGTGACTATGAATATTATTATCTTCTGGGATGTGAGGCTGTGAAGTCTGTTACCAACATTTCAGATGAATTTACTGCCTCCATTTTCAGGGCAGAAGAATACCATGAAGATGGAGGTAGCAGGATCTTCTAAAATGGTAACTTTCTACAAGACCACATGGTGTCACATCCAAAAGACAGTTCAAATACATAACAGATTCACTTTTCTTCAGATACAGAACATATTTGCTCCTGCCTCCTACTCAATGTAATCAACAATGTCAGACTAATAAAAATCCAGACACAGGGACTGGATTGGCAGGCAAATGAAGAGGTGTGAAGTTCATCTACACTACATGGAAAATGAAGATTGTTTCTCCATGAACAGATCATGGACAACTCTCATTCACACCCATAAAAAAGGTGGGGGGTGAATGTTCTTTTAAAGGATAAGTCTTTAATTGGGTTTCCTCTGCACACGGACCTGGAAAGGGCTGTTACTCTTCCTGTCCTGCACAAAGGCAACTGTTTTCCTTCTGTGTCCTGTGACTGGGCAATCGTTACTGTTCCTCAGCCCCCTTCAATGAGACTATTTATTATGCTCCCTCCCTCATGTCCTGCAGTAGTTTCCAGGTGTTATGTCCCACGTTCATATTTTGTTTGTTTCCAATATGTCGCAGACCCCACACAATATGCACCATTCATGATGGTGCAAGGCTAACAATTTACATCACCTGCAAGCTGGTGTGTGCAAATGACACACAGGAACTGGTGTGCTTTAGAGCAAAGGTGTTCACTTTGCATGAAGTTACCATCATATTTCAAAGCATTGCTGATAAAATACAACTATGTTTTGATATGCCATCCAATTACACAATCGATGGTGTATGTACAAAAGCTGCCATTATAAGAACATCAGGCAATGAAAAGATGTGACTGCAAAAGTTGACCCAAGTTGACAGACAGCATGAAACTACAAGTGCCATCACATGTGACAGTGAATCAAAAGAACTATGTCTAAGGAACACCTGCCAATAAGGCTACTAATCATGTGTCACACCAAAGGATAGGTGACTAAATGAACTGATGGAGTAATGATTACAAGTTGTCTGGAACAGGAGACAAGAGAGTATTTTTAAGGAAACAAGGAATGTTTGTAGTGGATGCATTTGAAAAGTCACTTTAACACTGGATGCCAGATCTATGATTCATACAATGAACACTGGCTGTGTAGTCATATCTCAAAGGATGACTTCATAATTACACATTCTACAGAATACACCTTTGAGATATCATTTGAAACAATTGTATTCCAAGCAGCTCTTTGTAGAGGAGTATGTTCTGACACCGCAGGGCCAATAATGAAGCCCAGTGTGAAATTTACTCTGCAAGTTAATCAAGACCAAGTCAATGGACTTCTGCAGAAGTGATAATCAGAAGATTTAAGACATGTTGTATATACGATGAAATGGAATGAGGGTGGATGAGGAAAATACGTACTGGCAATGCGGGCAGTGAACATGAGACAAGATGGGAATTGTGAAGACACTAAAGCTGAGACAGACAGTAGAATGGTGAACAGAGACTGGTCAAGCTGAATAAAATCTAATGTCTTCAAGAAGGAAAGTAACACATCTTCATACATTTATTTTCTTTCACATGTTTCTAGTAAGATTATGATATTAACACTTCGCGGACCGGACACCTAGGCCTAGGCATTTGGGTTTTAAACGTGGCAGACCGGTCGCCTAGATTTAGGCTTTTAGGACACGTTATGTTGCAACATACTATTCCTCGCTTTGGTGACCACGTGTCTGTAAAAGAACTGCGTAGCTGACCTTCGGAATGTTTGTTTTCTGAGTCAGCAACGTGACCACTCTCTATTCCCCTCTCACTTTAAAGAAAAGTCCCTTTGTTCAAGTTGAAGCTTCTATGTGTGAGGCAAGATATTCTCAGTGTCAACATGGCTCAGAGATGAAAGCAGTTGAAGGCCGCGCGAGCTCTCAGAGAAGAAGAAATCTGTGATTTGATCTCCGATGAGTTATCTGACTTGCCAACTGCTTCGTCTTCTGATAGCGAGGGCAGTGTCAGTGGCAGTGACAGGGGCCCCCAAAATATTGTGACCAGAAGAGAAAGTGAAAGTGACAGTGAGAGCTCCGATGAAAGTGCGAGTGCTAGCATTGCGGGNATGAAAAATTTTTTGGCAATAATCATTCTAAAGGGGTTTACAAAGAGGGATAATTTGAAAGACTACTGGTCCACTGATCCATTTTTAGAAATTCACATTTTCAGCAAACTCATGAGTCGTAAGAGATTTGAACATATATGGTGGTGTTTGCATTTCAATAATAATGAACTGCAACCACAATCAATGGGCAGGCTTTTCAAAATTCAGCCCTTATTAGACTTTTTCGTTGAGAAATTTCAGACAGTTTATAAGCCAGAGCAGCAACTGTCTTTGGACAAATCTGTGATTCCTTCGTTTTCGAACGTATAATCCTGGCAAACTCACAAAGTATGGCCTACTTGTTCATGTAGTCACGGAAAGCACTTCAGGCTATATTGGAAATTTAGAAATTTATGCCGGTGAAGGCAAGAAATTGCAAGAAACTGTTGTTTCCATTTTGGATCCCTATATGGATCAAAATTATCACGTTTATCAAGATAATTTTTATAACAGTGTGGCAACTGCAAGGGAAGTACGTATTTGTGGTACAATTAGGGTGAACAGAGGCCTTCCTCCAGATCTGAAAGAGGAATGTAAATCCCTGAAACGTGGTGACACCACATTCAGGAGGAAGGCGGACATTCTTCTTCAGTCCTGGAGGCATACTCGCGTTGTGAATATGATTTCCACTATTCACAATTCGAGCATGGTCGATGTTCAAAGACGACACGGGCAAGTGAAGAAGAAGCCTCTTTGTATTTCTCAGTACAATATGGTCATGAAAGGAGTTGATAGAGGCGACCAATACTTGGCCTATTATTCCCTTCCTAGGAAAACAGTAAAATGGACGAAGAAAGTTGCCACGTGGCTTATAAACTGTACCCTTTTCAATTCATTTTTGGTTTTCAAAGAGCTAAATGAAAATTCAACTTTCAGATACAAGGCATTTCTCATGAATGTGGCAAAAGCCTTGGCTACAGACCTCACGGTGGCGGCAGAACCTGCGTCAGACACAGACGTAGTACAACCAGGACCATCTACTCCCATCCCACGGAGGTCTCATATGGACACCCCTGGGCGACTCTCGGGTGATATGCAGAAACATACCCTCGTGAAAATTGTGATGAGCGAACAATCAATGGGTAAGTATCCTTCTAGGCAGTGCCGTGTGTGCGCTGTGCACAAGAAGCGAAGCAAGACTTCCTACGTCTGCAAGTTCTGCATCATGCCTCTTCACAGAGGGGAATGTTTCCAAAAATATCACACTCTGAAGCACTTCTAGGAGCTCTGGTAAGTCTTCTCCAAAAATTTTAGTTCATAAAATTAATTAGGAGATTTTATATTAATTTTTAAAGTGAACAGTGCACAACTTAGGGTAGTAGGTTTAAAAACACTGGTCCCCAGGGTGATTTAAATATTTAAATCACCGGTTCGCAAAGTGTTAATTAATAAACTTGTTTTTTCTGTGCAGACTTCCTTGTAGCGCAGAGTCATCTTGCATTCAGAATAATTTTCCATTCACATAAATATGGCAGGACACTTTAGTGCAATGTGTAAAAAAGGTTCATGTTACAGACTATTAGTGATAAAATTGGTCTACTAAAGAAAATCCTCAGTCTTGCCTCGATTATAAAAATGTTTCCAAATTTTTGTCCTGATCTCATCTCAAACTGCAGAAGTCATTCCCACACATGCATACATCAAAAACTAAAGCCACATAAAAGCAGAATTCACTTAATGAAACCATTACATGCTTGCATTACCACACAGGAAATGCCCCTCATAACTTAGGAAACTTCAACTAGTGAATAATAAACAAAATATATTAACACTTTGCAGACCAGTGATTTAAATATTTAAATCAGCCTGGGGACCGGCATTTTTATACCTACTACCCTAACTTGTGCACTGTTCACCTTAAAAATTAATATAAAATCTCCCAATTAATTTTATGAACTATAATTTTTGGAGAACACTTACCAGTGCTCCTAGAAGTGCCTGAGAGTGTGATATTCCTGGAAACATTCCCCTTTGTGAAGTGGCATTATACACTTTCAAATGTAGACAGTCATAGTCCTTTTTTCGTGAGAGAGAACACTTTGCCTTCAACCACTTTTGACCTTGAAACATATTCCCCTCTACTAACTTCCTGCCTGGTACATAAAGAGCTGGAAGGGGCAAAGTTTATTTTTTTTTGGAGTAGGGACCCTAGCCAGCCAGGTCAAGTTACTGAATACCTAGCATACATTCCAAAGATTTATTACGCAGTATTCATTGTAGTTGCATGGCGCCAGAGCAAGGTATAGTGTGTTTCAACATAACGTGTCCTAAAGTCATAACAATATACCACTGGTCCACCACGTTTAAAAGCGAAAAACCTTTTAAAGGGCGCGCGTTCCGCAAAGTGTTAATGTTAGGGAGCATTTAATTCCTTATAATAATGTCAAATTTATCATAATAATACCTTGGAAATAATTTTATCTTCAACAGTTGTCAAAGCTTGAAAAACTTCATCTGGTTTCACTTGTCCGGCAATTATCAATGTTAAATTCTCTGGTCTATAGAATTCTTTGTGGTAATTACGTACCTGAAAATAAACATAACATCAAATGTCCATACAGTCACATAAAAATTAATATTTCTTTCTTTGGTAATATGTTTATGTACCTCTAGATGCACACAAATAACCTTGCTTTACAAACAGATGAAACTTATCTCTTTCAATGACCTGAGGGTAAGGTTTTGCAGTCACCTATTTCCTTTGCTTACCTTCCTACAAATCTTGGACAATTCTTTGATCACTGGATTTGGTGTCCTCACAGCTTTAACTATGCAGGGTACAATCTTCTCGGTTGTAAAACCGTGTACTTCAGTAGACATCCACCAACATTTCAGAAGAATACTGGTGGATTCTTACTAAACTAAGTGGTGTTACAACCCAGATGATCTCATTCTTAAAATCTCACGTCATTAAATGATGTTCTTCCAGCTACTAAGGTTATGTAGCAATGAAATGAGGAGATGATGATCCATTAATCACAGTCTTATGTTAAAAAATTAAACTTGGGATGTAGCGAGATGAACATTCAACTCCAAGAGATCCATCATTAGATACCTAACAAGACACTACCAACCTATCACCTTAAGTGTTCTAGTATATTTATCATTCTGCTGAATTTCTTGTAAACTGCCTTATGTAAAAAAAAAAGTCTGAAAATAGCAGTTTCCACAGAAATAACAATTATGTTTATATTAAAAAGCAGAGTAGCACATGACAGAAATTACAACAACAAATAATAACTATGTACCTTTATATTGTCTGTACTATCTCTTAAATTTTTCATGACTCCACTTGCAGCAGATTTGTATCCACAGTGACCTGGGTACATGGCCCTTGACATTTCAAGATGGCAACGCCTTTCACCTGTGTTTTCACATCCCTGCACCTCACAGTATACTACACCTGCATCTTCCCCTTCTGCTGTTATGTGATGAACTTCTGTGACATAACCAGAATCCTGCAAACAGTTCCACAAGTTACTGGCACCCGCACATACAGGGTTTGTCCAGATCAAGCAGTTTTGACCACAAGGGGATAAAAACGGAGTCATTATCAAATTCACAGTTCATACACTGCAAACATGATGAATACATTAAGTAACCAAAGACCCAATTCACCAACTATAGACAGTGTCACGTAACTTTGAACATGGCCCCGCATTCCTAGTCAAATCCCGCACATAGCTTGTGGTGGGAGGAGTTTCGTAACACTCATTCTTCCACTTTCACCAACCCCTCGTGTTTCATTGAAACTACCCTATTCTCTTTTCGAAGAACATATTACAATAATACAAATATATTGTCACTCGCCATGCAAAGAAAAATAGGTTTAATGTGTATTACTAATTTATACTGTGAGTGTAGACCTATACCCTGACCTAATTTCTTACTCTTTATGAGTAACTGACGTTTTTAAACAGATGATAGAAAAACCATAAGTATAACCTGCTTCGAGGGTGCCTTACAAACAATTGGCTGCCTGTCACTTCTCACACCCTTGAACCCACCCTCTTGTCTGAAATTTTTCTTCTGCACATTCAAGGTTACTCTTGGCCTTGTTCGAAATTACGTGACACTTGCTATACCTACCTGACTCCTTCTTCAGAGGAGATTCTCAGAACATAATGGAACCTGAACATTCATTACTGTCTTCACACAAGTCTGCCACTGGTTCCTGTCCTGAGCAAGATGAATCCAGTCCACAAACACACCTCACCCTATTTCTCTAAAATCCAGTTTAATATTGTCCTCCCATCTACATCTAAGGGTCTTCCCAATGATCTCCTTCCTTCAGAATTCTCTATCAAAACCCTGCATCCACGTTTTTGCTCTCATGTGTGCTACATGCTCTGCCCATGTCACCCTTCTTGACTTGTTTTGATGCGCCTCATAATGCAGTTTTGTCCAGTCTGCTATTACCACATGCACCACCAGACTTCTTTTCTGGGAAAGAAAGGATCAGTTTTCTGAGGTAAAGCCATGTTTCCTGTCAGGGGAGCCAGAAAATTTGCTTATGAACTCATAATAAAGACATTTAATACTATTTTTACTGACTGTCCTACAGTATTCTGGATAGAATAATAATTTCAGTTGGTAATTCAGTTTTGGAGCATTCCCACAGTTTTTACATGCATCACTTCCAGTGTTCTAAAAAACCACTTTAGTGTGTGCCACCTTGTTTGGAAAATGCTGCATTAAGCAATATGATAGTAAAAGTTATAAGTATACATAACAGAAGTACAGGCCCACAATGACCACTTATTCTGCATACCAGTAAATCCACCTCTCATTGTGTCTTACTGATGACCATTTCAGAGACAGATTTCATATTTTAGGGTAGGATATAGCATCACAACACTGACAGGATTAACCATTACAAGATGGAAAACTGAAATAACATTTCTGTAGACTTAATGCAATTTTTAAACAACAGTAAGACACTCCTTCCAACAAATGACCTCTTAAAGACTTCAAACGTTTGCTATGCAATCAAAGTGTTAATCTGTGCTTCAAAGCTCTTGTTGATATTCATAACTAAAAATAACATATATTCCACATTAAAATTGTATTAACACTTTGTGGACTGGCAATTTAAATATTTAAATCAGCCTGGGGATCGGTGTTTTTATACCTACTACCCTAACTTGTGCACTGTTCACCTTAAAAATTAATATAAAATCTCCCAATTAATTTTATGAACTATAATTTTTGGAGAACACTTACCAATGCTCCTAGAAGTGCTTGAGAGTGTGATATTCCTGGAAACATTCCCCTTTGTGAAGTGGCATTATACACTTTCAAATGTAGGCAGTCATAGTCCTTTTTTTTGTGAACTGCGCACACACAGCATTGCTAGAAGGATGCTTCCCCTTGGAATGTTCACCCTTCACAATTTTCATGAGGGTATGTTTCCACATATTACCCAAGAGTCGCCCAGGGGTGTCCATATGAGGCCTGCGTGGGGTGGGAGTTGATGGGCTAGGTCGCACTAAGTCTGTCTGACTCTGGTTCTGCCCCCACCATCAGGTCTGTAGCCCAAGCCTTTGCCACATTCATCAGAAATGCTTTGTATTTCAATTTTGAATCAGGGTTTAGATTTTTGTAAACCAAAAATGAATTGAAAATGGCACAATTTCTAAGCCACAAGGCAACTTTCACTTTTATTATCTGTGGCACAATTCTTTGTTGACCCCTGTCACTTCCACTGTCTCAGTCACTAATCACTACTCCTCCACAAGGCAGTCAGATAGCTCCATAAACAAGTCCGAGAGATCGCTTGCCTTCACCGCTTTTTTCCTTGATACATATTCCCCTCTACTAACTTCCTGCCTGGTACATAAACAGCTGGAAGGGGCAAAGTTTATTTTTTTTTGGAGTAGGGACCCTAGCCAGCCAGGTCAAGTTACTGAATACCTAGCATACATTCTGAAGATTTATTACGCAGTATTCATTGCAGTTACGTGGTGGCGCCAGAGCAAGGTATAGTGTGTTACAACCTAATGTGTCCTAAAAGCCTGATATCATGTGACCGGTCCGCCACGTTTAAAAGTGAAAAGCCTGATATCATGCGTCCGGTCCACAAAGTGTTAAGTAATCATCTGTTAAATAAACTGAAGTGTAAAATTTTTTTGAAATGTGAATTTTAATTTCATAATGGATACATGATATTCTTTCTGCAAATCCAATCTTTGGTAAATAATATAAACAGGTTTCTTGGAAGGGGGGATTACAAATACAAATTTACATTTAAGCTGTTCGATATCATTATAGATTATATATTATGTCTGCTCATGGCCCTGGAGTTTTTATTTAGATTTTTTTCAAATGCCTAGTTTGCTCCCAGTCTGCCCTGTTCAGATGCCCAAGAAATTGAAATACTTTGTGCATACACACAAATTTTAAGCTACTTCAAATTCAACTATAGGTGTAGGACCCCTTACCTGAGAAGGCTGAGAATCAAAGGGACATTTCTGGTTCTGTGGCAAATCTCTGCATTTAAGCAATCACAGAAATACCTTTCTCTAATTTCATAAGTAACTGCACCTTCAACTTTATACTCACCATAAAATGCTTTCTTCATAAAATGTTTTCTCCTAGCCTTCTAGATATGTCCTTGATAAAAAGAAATGGAGGTAAATAGCCATAAAAATCAGGGAGAAACAAGCATACACACTATGTGCAATTTGAACAAAGCAGCAAGTAGGCAATCTATGCAGTCATTGCTGCCAATTCACCAGCTTAAAAACAGCTGGATTTCTGGTTCTCCCCAGCTTCTTGGCCCCTGTACTGTGATGCTATATAGTATTACTCTTTATATTGTCCACATTAATCACAATAACTTGATCCTTCTGTGTGCAAACCTGAACTAAAATTAGACTTACTAACTTTACACGAATACTCATATCTGCAATAATATAAAATCTAATTTTGTGAATACGTACTGTTAGGGTTGGGTACAGTATATGATCCAAATATATGGGCATCACAGCGAGGAATCCCTCGCTTCCAGCATTTGTCATAGTATAACAAGTATGGTCTGTGTCTGCATGAAAAAAGAAATATAATATACATTAATACATTAATCATTAAGCAATTATTATTAATCAAATGCTTCTACCACCAATTAATCATGATGTTCCATCTTTGGTACATAAAACAGCAATATTACATTGGTTAATATTCTAGACTGTGAAATATCTCTGACATAAAGAAAATCAGAACTAATGAATGACACTGTTTCTTATATTTTGGTTATTTCATTCCTGGTACTCATTTCTAAAAGAAACGAGTACCAGGAATTAATTAAATAATTTTCCTAGGGAGTAAAGCGCGGCCGGCACGTATGGCTGACAACCTTACCGCCATCTTTGAGCCCATTGTCTAGATAATGTAGGAGCCTCAACATCTCACAACCCTATGGGCCTCCATGTCCTGTTACAGGGATAGCTTTACTTTTTACTTTACTTTACATGATACTGTCAGTATCAATATTATATATAATAGATGACAGGATTAAGAATGAAAATCTGAAACAGATTGGGAAGATCGTGGTTGTGGTGTACTCAAGGTACTATCCAGACATTTGCCTGAAGAGATAGATGAAACCCATGATAAGCCTTCTTCATGATAACCAGTATCCCAGCTAAAATTTGAACTGAGAAGCTTCTGGATACAAATCTAAAGTGACACATCTAGACCAACCTATTTAGTGAATGGGATTACTGAACATGTATAATTTTGTTTACCATTCTGAAGTTCCTTTCACTAATTTCTTGGCTGGAATCAAATCAAACTATGAAATCCCACTTGCATTTACATGCAGTACTTGTCTTGCATTTCTATTATCTGACTATATAAAGTAAAAAATGTATTATCTTTTATACTACAAAACACAGATGTAATAGATTAAGATTCATTATTCACGTAACAAAGTAATGATGATCTTAATTTAATTATCAATTAACAGTAAAGTAAAATGGCAATGTTGTCCCACTGCTTAACTAATTAAGCACTATGCCACGAAAACATATGGAGGAGAGGATGTATAGCTCCACCATTCTTGACCTTGGCACTAGATTTACGTGAGCGGTCAGCTTCACACTGCAGCCACTATATCCCCAGGGAAATCACTCTCACTACCCATTGGACAGAAGGCTAGATGGAACCTAGAGCCAATCTGGATGTTATGAAGATGAGAAAAGTCTTCCTCCTACTGAGAATCGAAAATTGGCCATCCAACCCATGGGCCATCACTATACCAACTGAGCTATCCTTCCTCCTGTCAACTAACAGCACATTTGTAAATAACTTTTCAGCAATAATAATGCTAAAATATCCCACCAGTCCAAGCATTGGTCCCAGACGCCAGACACCTGTTGGCAAGCAGATCCAGAACTCCTTTGTATGGGTATTCTTCACTCCCCATAAATATGACATGCTCCAAGGTGTGTGGCAGTCCGTCATCATCATGTGCCTCCGTTGCTACAGAACAGACAAATATACCAACACTACAATACTACATTCTCTTTTTTTGTCGGTAAAACTTTGGTCTCTCACTGTGAGAGAAATACAAAGAATGGAGGTACTTCAAACCAAGCAGCAAAGACAATATCTGGATTCAAGCAAAGTATGATATGAAAGATATACAGAAGTTGTTAATGATTCACAATTTTCAAAATTATTCTCTGTGCCTGTCAAGTACCAAAGGCGTTTCACAGTATGTATGCTACAATGTGAACACTGAACAAAGCTCATTATTTGGCCAATTCATTTGGTTTAGTTATAAATGTTGAGTTGTGTAACAGGAAATATGTCATTATTATGAAACAATGGGACAGTGTTTTTGTGTTCAGTACCAAAAATATGGATTCCACATGTCACAAAGACTGGTCTTGCATTCCTAGCAAATAGCCATAAACTATTAACTTATACAGAAAATATGTTAGTAGAACGGCAGAAATTCCGCAGTAGGTGGACTGGGTAGAATGAAAAGAGAGGAGGTGATGATCAGGAGGGATAAGAAGATAACAGGAAGTCTCATAGTCACTTCTGCAATTTTCCCCAAACACTAAACACAGAACAATACAGCAGTCTGCACCACAGGAGTCTGATACAGTAAATCTTCCTTCAAGACTCAGTGAATGGTTCACATAAACTGCACACACCATTCACATGCTCCTGATACCTTGAAAATATATAAGATTTATAACAGAGAGGACCGGGGAATACCCAAGAAATACCTGCACAATCTGCATTTTCAACCACCTGTTCCCTACACTTATTTTCCTTAATTATGCATGAAGGTAAAGTTTCTCCATGCTTAATTGATTAGGACCCCCAAGAAGATAGGTTGAAGAATGGAGGTATAGCTCCACCATTCTTAACCTCGGCATCAGACGGAACCTGAGTGGTCTGCTTCACGCTTCTGCCACTTTACCACCGGTACCCACTGTGGAGGATGCCGGGTTGCCCCCAGAACTGGTCTGGACGCTGTGGAGGAGAGAAAAATCCATTTCTCCTGATCGAGAATCGAACCCCAGCCGTCCAGCCCGTAGCCCGTTGTTATGCACACTGAGCTATCCCGACTCCGCCTGATATGTATTTAAACCAGAAAATTACTTTAACATTGACTTAACTTACCCAAACAGAAGTATCCATTTACGACTGGACCCTCAACTTCAGCAATGACAACAATCAGCCCCGTCGCATTCGATTTATATTTATGAACGGGTACCAAGTCATTTGCTTTCAATGAACAAATTAATTCGAAGCTTCCACTTCTCCCTCCAGCTGGCGAGTTATCAACAGGAGCCATGTTTCTTATGTGTGACTAACACTGAGCGTAGTTAAGTGATGTACTGAGCACAGTTGAAGTGGTTAAGATAAATGTATTGGCTGTAGGCATGTAGGTGATCCGTGAACAGATTTGCAAGACAGTGCCACAAAATTAGTTAGACGAAAACCCACGAAGACAAGGGCAGGAAACTCGGTGGCACGGATCAACACGGGTGTGTACAGACGGAACAGACCACAAAAGTACAGACCGTGTGTGCTTTGTGACCCGTGTTCGCAAGCAGAAGTATGGCGAGTTTTTCACATGAACCAGGTTTTTGCCCACAGTGTGGTACAATTTTGCCAATGTTAGGCTCCGAGGGCGATGTTAGATGTTATAATTGTAAGCAGACGTTTGGTCCAGAAGGTAAAGAAGTTGCAGTAAGATTCAGAAATTTATTTCGTTTCAAGTACTTTGAGGTTCAAGTTTACCCGCTTTATTCCTAGAGAGCTACAGACTTTCGAAGTCGTGGTAGTGTATGTACTGGAGTACCCGAATAGAATATATATGCATTTTACGTGGTGTGAACGTATTTTGCCTTAGCCTTGGAACCGTTACAAAGTAACGGTAACGAAGCTACAACCACTTTCATCGCAGAAGTAGTCGGACGTCTGAATAGGCGATTGCGAGTATGAACGTAGTTCATAAAAACTTATGACCTTTTTAGCCCAGTAATAAATTTAATTAGTATTTTGCAGCTGAAATGCTGCTGAATGCCAAGGCTTATTCAGGGTGGGCCGACTTCAAGAATGTTTTAATCTGGAAAGTAGATATGGTAGTGGGCATGAACAGATAAGTGGCCAGTTTCTTGTAAAGTCGGGCCTGCTGGGAAAGTGCTCTTTTATGGAATGTAAGATACCAGCATAGTGGGGAAAAAAAAATACATGCCTTTAAACCAGATTTGGCAGAAATGCGAAATAACTGTAGACCAATATTCAAATTGTGGCCCTCTGAGTTATGACACAATGCAGCCTCTTAGGTGGATACTAGTAGTTTCAAAGAACATGCTGCCTCCCTCTTCAGGATCAAAGTGAATGTGACAATGATGTGATCAGGTTATAAAGTTCAAGAACAGTAGGTAAGATAAGGTAAAACTGCCCCTGTGCTCAATGTCATGCCATTTCATTAAGATGTAAGGGGAAGTGGAGGTGTAGCATGACATTCTTGACCATGGCACTGGATGGAAGTGAGTAACTTGCCATGTTAGCCTTGGGGATAAAGCCCAAGGCACAAATTGTCTATGAGGCTGGGTGAATGGGATGCAGAGCTTGCCCCTGTTGGGAGTCAAGCCAAATTCTCTAGCTGTTGAGCCTGTTGCTGTATTGACAGAGCTATCTTGGCTCCCTGAAAAGGAAATTCTGAGCAACAGAGTCCTTTTTAGGGCCGGAAGCAGCGTCATCAGCAGCGACTTGAAGCACAGAGCAAATGATGCTCGAGATGGTTCAAGTTCGTATAGCAACAGGCGTGACCAGAGTGGTTTGAACGGCAGTTGTACTGCGATGTGGAAAGCAAATGGAAAAACTACCACATTATCACTTTTCCTGGATAGTCTCTTTCCAAAAACAGAAGATCGCATTAAGTGGAGGAACTGTTTTGGAAGAGACTGTGGACCTGTCGTCTGACAGATTACTGATGAATGAATAACAACATTTCCTTTAAAGTGACTGAAAATAAAAATTTCTGGACAAAATTTTGTTTATATCTACCCTGCCAATTTAATTAAGCTCTGGTTAGTTTAGGCCCTGCTATGTGCTGACAGATGGACATGAAACTATAGGACGTCTCTGCTACTTGCCCCAGGGCTAAAGCAATGAAGATGTGAAGCTGACCACTCACATCTAATGCTGACACCAAAAATGGTGGAGCTATAACTCCAGTCCCTATATTTCTTCATGCCATGGTGCTTAACTAATTAAGCTCAGGGACAACTTCCCCCAACTACAACTCAAAAATTGTAAAAGTCATTGCAATATGTGTGCAATTTTAAATATTCTGGAAAGAAACAGGACAGCATTTTGCCAACATAAAAATATGGTTTTATGTTCCAGTGTTTTCGGGTTTAGAATGCCATTATGTCATCCATTTTAACTCTCCTAATGTATATGGTGGGTCAAAACAAAAAGCAGACAGTGCAGATGGGTGTGTAGTGGAAAGAATGTGCCCAAATTGCAAGAACGATAAGATGTCATACGCTACTTTGCAGCTACGATCCGCAGATGAAGGGCAGACAGTATTTTACACATGCACAAAATGCAAGTATGTACACAGCCTCTGCCATTTTACAGATTAAGTCATTTTATATGCAGTGAATGTCTTTATGAAGGTTGGATTTGAGATTGTCACAGTGAAGAGTTCTGTCTTCTAGGATATAACACTGTGTAGTCTAGTGAAAGTCAACCAATACTTTGGAGGAACATACATACCACCATCTTCAAGGCCAACAAGTAAGGCAAGCAAGACAGTACAAAGTAGGTACCAAGCAGGGGCTGTTACAAGTTCACCTTTTTCTTTCTGCCTGTTTCATGCTTGACTTAGTCTTTGACCCTGAAAATGGAGGTGGTATGTTCCTCCAAAATGTTGGATGACTTTCACCAAACAGCATGGCTTTGTATGCCAGAATATATAAATTCTTTGTGCTTACAAAACTTTGGGAAGAGTGTGTTTCAGTGTCGGTTCAGTATTGTTCTCGTGTCATCAATTCAAACAGTTGTAAAGCGTACATTGCTTTCTTCAGCTGATATACATACCAGCAAATGGTGATATGTATTGGCAATCTTGTCAAAAGCAAAAGTCACATATCTGCAAGTCCATTAAATGTTTTAATCTTGAGGCTAAATTGAACATGGGGCCACCAGCAAACATGTTTCTGGGGTGAACCAAAAGCAGTGGTTCTGTGTATGCATGCAAGATGAATTAGAAGACGGCTATTACACTTTTCCACAGGTCAAACTGCAGAAGAATGGTGTTGCAGATGGAATTATGTGCTGTTTCTTAATGTTTTTCATGAGCTTTCAGCCTTTATGACCTCCTTAGTACCACAGATTCCCTAATTACATTTAACCAGTTACATAATAGCAATGTTTGGTATAGTGGTAGTGCTCCAGACTGGATTCAGGAGATGCTTGGTTCAGATCTCAGCCAGGAGCACATCCATTCTGATTGAGGATTTTCTTTGTTTCCCTCAGTCCCTTCATGAAATACCATGATTAGGGCATGACCACTTTCTTCCAAATTCTATATCATTAATAACCAATCATCCTGCCATTCAACACTGTTGCTTGAGATGCATTTGTTTTTAATTCACTTAGTGGGGGGTGGAGTCCAGCTGGGTCCACTCGGCACAGCGGCCACTGATTGGCCTATTGTAGCCTGCCCTGGGTGATTATTATGATGGAGAATTTGGTGGAATGAAGATTGGCAGGGGAAACAGAAGTACTCGGAGAAAACCTGCCCCAGCACCACCATGTCCACCACAAATCACACTTGACCAGACCCGGGATCAGACCCAGGCCACCACGGTGGGAAGCCAGCGACTAACCGCTTGAGCTATGGCGCAGCCTTGAGATGCATTTTAGTTTGTGCTTAGATTGCTCTAGTGTTATCTTTAATAGGCAGGCTTATGCACTTCTCTGGTCTTTTATTCAACCAAAGAATGCATTTTCTTTACCAGTATACACCAAAGATGATCTAAGAATACGATAATACTGTAACAGTACAGACTGTCTACCATTTAGATATAACGGCAGGGGCAGGCAAGATGAATTTCAAGACGTCTTCAAGGGGTTAATATACCATTTTTGTATCTCAGATTATCTTGTCTGTGTATAAATTTCTACCTGTATAAGGTTTTCTTCTAATCAAGAGTTCATTCCGTTGTGTGCCAAAGCTATTCAAATATTCTCTATTTATATGACATAAAATTCAGTTAACAGAAGTGTTCCTAAATAGTATGTAGCATGAATTACATAAAGTAAACTGTTGCCTGCCCCATGTGGTGAGCACTGACATAACTGACAGCTTACTTTGTGTATAAATATAGAGTGTGATGTGACATCACATCCACCCCTGATGATGGAGCCAGAGACAGTCTCCAAAACATTAGACACTTATTCCACATTTGCATGGTTAATTGCCTGAGAAGAATTCATTGTGTTCTGTCACTGTAAATGCTTCAAATCATATACAGTTCTGTTTACTTGCTACATATAAGCATACATGGCCATTTTTAGAGAACACAGCATTGATGATTTTTTATGTTGTCATGTTATGTAGTATTTAGGAACAAACTTCTCAACTTTTTTTTGGGGGGGGGTGAATTGGATATTGAAATCCCTATGTATTCTGTGTTTATTAATTTTGCTATGACAATATAATGCATAAAGAACTACGTACATATTTCTCACTAAATGTTTTTTTTTTAAATCTCTGAGAACTTCCGTACACAAACCCTTTAATCATGAATATTCTACAGACAGTAATCTTTAATATGTTAAAACTTATGAGGCGCACAAAATATTTCCTTTGAATGCAGTAATCCCAAGTTTAACATGGGGGTTACATTCTTGGGTTATCCTTTAAATATCAAAACAATGTAGTGCAAGGGCTGGGTCTTTTGGAAAATAAAGGCTTCTGGGAATCAGCCTCTAAAATATACATAGACAAAAGCTCGATGTTCAAAATAAACAAGCACAGCGTGTACATATACACAGAAAGATGCCTCATTTTCTCATGTGTCATATTATTACTGAACCTAACTTTCATTCGTGCCATTACTTCTAGAAAATTTTACTTTGTTTCAGGTTCAAGGAGACGGAAAATTCATGATGGCTGACATTTATGTTATGTTAACAGAAGACAATTCAAAATATGGATACCAGATGTGAAATATGCAAATATATCATATTTATTGTATGTTTAATATTCATGTCTGTACATGAAACATAAAATATTTATAATGTTCATTATATCTAGCTCATACACCAAATCCCCAGTCCACACTGGTTTTTCTTAAAATATCTGAATATGCCAGAAATCTGTAAATAGTTATGTAAAACTTACCCTACTTAATCTGACTCTAGCTCCAGGATATATCCTATACCAATTCTTATCCATTTCTTTCATGTTATAAATGATTTACCCTTATGTTCACAAATATGCATTGCATTTTTATAGATGTTTCCATATAACCTTCCAGTTGTTGCCTGCACTTAATTCTGGCACACATGACCCACGAGTGAAGTTTGTTTACTTCCATGCCAAGATTCAGTTTTTAGACATATTCATTCTTCATTAGCCTAGTGCTGTATCAGTCAACAACCACAATCATTTCCTTTTGAATGAACATCTTTCCCATACAATTCTGTTCTCATAAACAGTCAATCCAGTCTACAACTCAAAGGGTATATGACCAAAAAAAAAAAAGGAAAAGTACATTAAAAAGAACAGTTATAATTAACACAACTCAGTGAAGCACTGCAGTGTGTGTGTCTCATGTCACAAAGTCATTTTAGAAAAGAAAGGTTCTATCTTTCATAAATGAAAATGCAGATTGCAGTTGCCATTCAGTCAAGATATTGGTCTTTTGATGTAAGAGTGTTTATATATCACAAAGGCACAAATATGTATGATAATTAAATTAATAATAATAATAATAAGGTAAATTTGGCCCTGTGCTTAACTATTATTATTAACTATAACTTAAACATTATGACATGAAGAAGTATGGGGTAGTGGATGTGTAGATCCACATATTCTTGACCTTGGCAATAGTTGGAGGTGAGTGGTCAGCTTCACGCCCTGGCCGCTTTACCTCCAGGGAAAGAGTCCCTGGTACCCATTGGGCAGTATCGGTTGGCCCAAGAACAGGTCCAGATGATGTAGGGACTGAAACACCAACCCCTTGCCCTTCCATTTGGTAGCGTTGCTATCCCAGCTCCCAATTAANGAGTGTTTGAAAGTATGTACAATTTAGTCTCATAATTTCTGTAAACTGTTTATTACTTCAGCTGATAAACATTACCTTCTCTTTCACAAGCCAATGTGATAATGGCACATTACGAACCCATGAGTTAGGTGCCTTCAGACTCAGTACATATAGGAATGTCTTTCAATGTACAACTTGCATGAAGCTGCAGAACAGTCTCCAACACAAAGGTCCAAAAGAGATGCTCACATACCGATAAGAATACAGTAGAAGTCTGAAGTAATAAACTCTTGACGGGAATTATATTATGCACCATCCATTTAACCACGTTAAGCATAGTAACATTCTTCTGTTTTAACAGGAGTATGCTTTCTTAATTTCTGCTGGAACGAGTGCTTCTCTCCTTTCTGGATACATATTGTCACGTGTTGGGTATATGCCACGTGACAAATAACTTCACGCCATCTTGGATGTGGCAAATTTATTGAACACTCACTCACACAATTCACAATTACAATTACTGCCATCGGCAGTATCACAGTTACATCCACTGCTCTCGGCAACTGCTAGACTTCTGTTGCACTTAGCGACTTCACGATCCGCAATGTGTCACTCCTGATCTCACACTCTCTGACCACATACTGCTCAGCCGGCTTTTTATACTGTTCCCTTGTGTTACTAGCATTGTCGCGTTATGTCACAGTGGGAACTGCTGTTACATCACCGCAGTGGAGAGGGGCAGAGTGTTGACTGGCCTGTTACTGTAGCTTGCTCAGATGTTGTTATGTCACTGCAACAATGGTTGCCTGACACAGTTGCTCTTCTGTTATGTCACCCCGCGTTGCATAATGATGGAAGGAGTGAGGGTATGTGATGTCACTCGCAAGACTGCAGTGTTCACGTGACCCCCTACTTCCTGTTGCGCCATCCATGTCACAATATAAACATACATTTGACAATGTGGGTTGCCCACCAAGTTCTATTCTATACGAGTAAAATGAGTACTGGTAATGTAGCAGTTTCATGTCTTGATTCATTAGGATGGAAAGAAGAGGGACAGTAAGAGCCTGTTTCAAATTCTTTCAGTACATGCACATCACAGGAAATAAAGAAAACATTCAAAACATTATTGTATTTTCTCCATGGTTATCCATGGCATGGTTGCACCATTTGTCACATGTAGGACCAGTCCAAACTTCCATCCCCACCTAGACTGAAAAACAGTGTAGGGCAGAGGTTAAGGATGTCAGTTTCCTGCATGCCTTTGTGTAGAGCAAGTTGTCTTGTAACAGCCATACTGCACTGTCAGGTACAGATCTATTCTCTGTAAGCTGAGAGTTACACATCTATCAAGCTACTACTTTCCCTCAACATCTTCTCTTGGTCCCTTTTTACTAGACATATTTCAGGAACAAGTCTTGAAGATGTGCAGAATGAGTTTCAGTGAATGTCCCATGGAATCATGGGCCAGATGAGTTCTACTTGCATGCAAACAAAACCAAGTAGAGCCCGAAGCAGCAGTTAGCTGAGCTAACAGAAACTGCAGCCATCATCAAATTACTGTTTACTTTGACATCTTTCAAGGAACATCTAAACATGCAGAACATTTGCATTATTATTAATGCTTGTTTTACATCCCACCATTCCAAATATGCTGGGAAGTTCTTGAATAGCTACAAAATTGGTGGCTTCTCAAGAAGGGTTCAGCTCCATGAAGCTACTTACATCCCACAAAAGGTCCTTGTGAAAATAAGGACTTCTGCATATTCACCACTTCTCCATGTCCATGAACTTCTAAGTACTCCTGCTCACAAAACAATAGTGCACAGCATTGTGTGTATCATCTCATTTCTTGTGGTAGCAGTAGTACTTTCTCCTGAAGACTGAAGACTTGGTCATAACTGTAAGATGGCATGGTATGTGCTGTGTTTTATCAGTGATATGCACAACTGATGAACACTGAGAAGACTTAGCATGTCCTAGCAATATGTACAGTGTACAGATCAGCAACAGCACTGTAATTACATGCAGTTACGAATGATGTGTAAAAGGTGTCAATAAATCCAAATCATCCAATCCAAAACCCGTTTATATATCCCCCCAGTGACATATTGCAGTTTCAACACACATGATATGAATGAATGCCCACTTAGGTCAAGAATGAACTGACTTCATTTAAAAAAAGTCATATGAACATGATTTAAAAAAATTCTGTATTCTCATTTACATATTAACAAAGTAAGAATGAACCAACTTTCACTTAAAAAAAACAGTCATATGAATGTGATTAAAAAAATCTGTACTTTTACATATTATTAACAAAAGTGTCCTGCTGACAAATAAAAACAAAAAACAAAATAAATGGTAAACTTTTACTTAAACATCACTCTTTTACTGCAAGAATATTTGTGTACAAATAATATGTTTTTGGACATTATACATCAGCTTGTTTTTATCTAAAAACTGTCCCATTTAATGTTGTGCTTTGAAAGATAAACAGAACAGTTTTTAGATAAAGACAAGAATGATAAATGATGTCCAAAAACAAAATATTTGTACTAATGTACCATCGTCACAAACTTTTAAATCTTTTTAAGAATACTTGTGCCCAATCTCTCCACCATCCTAAACACAGCCAGGCAGTTTAATACCCATGTAACATCACATACCCATACTGTTATATAACACACTTTACATCTGCGGCAGCTGATCAATTGGAGTTGCAAATTTAAAGTCCTCTGGAAAAAGCTTCGCTGCGTGAGGGTACATCAGTTTGTACGACTGGCGGATTGTCACATCAGCCACACCAGCAATATCTCCAATTTCCTTCTGGCTGCGTTTATCTTCAGAGGCCTGCAATCCAGAAGTCAAACCAATGCTGCAGATGGCCAACTAACAGAAACATAAGCTACAGTAACAAAACTTAAAACACTGCCTATTTTACACACAGAATGGGCCACGCCATAGCTCAAGCAGTTAGTCGCTGGCTTCCCACCGCAGCAGCCCGGGTTCGATCCCAGGTCTGGTCAAGTGGGATTTGTGGTGGATGGTGCTGGGGCAGGTTTTCTCCGAGTACTTCGGTTTCCCCTGCCAATCTTCATTCCACCAAATTCTCCATCATCATAATCACCCAGGGCAGGCTACAATAGGCCAATCAGTGGCCACCGCCATGCTGAGTGGACCCAGTAGGACTCCACGCCCCACTAAGCCAATTTAAGAAAAAAATTTTTTTACACACAGAATACTATGGATAATGGATGACACCTAACCTAATAAAGATAAAAATAATAACCATTAATGCTCAGTGTTACCATGTTACTAATTTCTTTAGAGAACGATGTTCTGCGTAAAATTTTAGATCTTTATAATTTCCTATCATCTCAAATTTATCTTGCCTGCATACAATAATTCATCTGGTATAACCACCAAAGTGAAATCACTTTACACACTCATACACGTGACACTATATTTACTCCAAATTTAGATAAAAACTGCAATGAGAAACCTTCCATGTAGTAGTTATCACTGTTTCCTGGGTATACCTTTTGACTTTTAAAACAGAGGCTGTTATGTTGCTCAGAAACTTGAACAGCCTTCTACAAGACTACATGGCATCAACATTCCACATGACACCAGTCTTCATAGTCACTGGCATGAGAAGCTCAAGTCACACATTGTTTGAGTTTTCCAGACTTATAGAGTCAATTCCATATAAAAAGGCCAGTTACTCAGTTGATCTATAAATTTCCTATCCTGAGACAGACAAATCCAGTCCATGCCCTCTCATCCTGTTTTCTACTTTTTTTAAGAATTTATTAAGAGGCAGAATATGTTGAGTACCACTAAAAACACACAATTCTGTATAATGCTTAACTGCACTAAAAATATTTACATCTACAAACAAACAAACTCCATGGTTTTAGTCCACAATTAAACACTATCGACCAAGCGACCACCGCTTGTTGGCAAAGTTAGTGACAACTTTAGAGGATAGAGGGTGTTGCGTGGTCAGCGCAACAAACCCCATGGCCGTTAAATATTTACATCTACTCTGCACGTAAAATAAATGTGAACATGACACATCAGACAAACTCCATATGGAATACCACAGCAACAACTGACCAAACGTGCTGCATGCAAACCTGTGAAGCCATATATATTGCAGCCGCTGCAACTGAAATGGGTGATCGACCGGGCACAATGTCAAGCTCCACTGCTTTCCTAGCAATGTGTGTTGCGGCACGCTGAACCATGTTGGGGAGTCCTGTATCAAAGTGAAAAAGACAGTTTTATCCCCCATTATTCATTCCTTGCAAATCTGAAAATCATCAACTTGATACTGGAGATGGAAGAAACAGCTCAGGCTCCCGAAACCCATCTTCTTACATATACTCCTTATCATACTCACAAAGAGATTTCTTACAACTCACGTACCGACAGCACCACATTTACTTTACTTTCAGCTCCAGCTCCAGGTTTACATGAGGTACAAGCATAAGAGTCAACTTACAGCACATGAGGAATCAGCATATTTCACTTCAATTACACAAAATGCTATTTGTGAATTCTACATGGTACTATGCAAAATTATGACAGTAACTTCAAAGCATAACTGGGAGGAGGGAAAGAATAACAATGATAAAAGGCTGATATTTTGTTGCTTTAAGTTTTAATCAAAGTAAAACTAAAGAACACAGGCGACTGCACACTGACAGAACTTACCGAGGTTGGAACAGAAACGTGACATAAAGTCTCCTGTTGTAATAAGGTCCACACTGGTTTCAAGAGCCTTCAGAATCAACTTAAAGCAGCGTCCAATTTCTTTCTTGCTGATCTTACTGACGGCACATATTTCCTTTTAAAACACAATAATAATAACAATAATAAATATGAGCTGCAATACAATGCATGGCTAAAAGAATGGGTTTAGTTTAACATATCCTGTTGTGTGTTATTTACAAAGAGATATAATTTGGGACAGCTGCATAACAAATAATCAAAACGAAACAAACTAGACACTACCGTGTCAAAATTTATTTTTTGGTGGTATCACTACATGTTTCAACCCTTTTCCTGGGTCATCTTCAGGCATACATGAATTCTATTTATCTTCTGAATTGCATCATTAATCAATATCAATTCATATTGTGTCTGTATAGTTCAAGTTTGAGTTTGAGAGAGAACAGCTACAGCACAGCAATAACACTCACCATGGGGATCTGAATATCCCAGTCCATGTATAAACAATCTGAGTGGGATACCCTGAACATGTTCAGCGTTCACACGTTTAACAGAATATACTCATTTTCCAGGAAGGTCAAAAAACCAACACAACCTATATTCTGAAAAAAAGATCCCGGCAAGCAGTCACCCCACGGCACAATATCACTACCATAGGGGAACAACAAACAACACAAATATGATATGTAGCAGGCACAAGGCTTAAACAGAATTTGTAATATTGACTACAAATACCTTAATAACCATTGGACTTCTATCCATTTAATATCAAGTTTAATGTCTAGTTTTAATTATTAGTATAGAATAATGATAGAGATACAATATGAACAGGTTGATTAATGATGCAATTCAGAAGCTAAATAGTATTCGTGTATGCCTGAAGATGACCCAGGAAAAAGGGCTGAAACATGCAGTAATACCACCAAAAACTAACAAAAATGAACACTGACAAAGTAGTGCCTATTTTGTATCTTTTTGATTATTTGTTGTGCGACTGTCCCAAATCATATCTTTTCATAAAATCTAACATGACCACATTCTGAGCCAAAAAGAATATTTTCTTAGCCTCTTTTCCACTTCTGTATCAACTTTCTCCAGTATAAAACATTCAAACCATTAATGGAGTTATGAAATCTACTATGCATATCATACCACTTGATGCCAATCCCAGTTTTTGTTAAATAACAAATTTCTGCATGTCAAAATGGGATGGATGTTGCCTTACTTAGGGGAATGTGTTATTCAGTTAAATACAGTACAGAATTCTCTTATCACATAACACATGCCTAAAATTGTGTAAAACCATCAAATATGTTGCAATTTATTACACAGAATGGTAATTTGTGCCATCAAAGGTCAAAATCAGAAATCTTGAAAATGATTACTCAAAACATCAGACTTGTTACTAAGAAAAAAACATAACTTAAGTGCGGTGTAATACACAACATACGTGGATCGACATAAATGCAATCTGATACACCTACACAAGTAATGAGAAGACTGAGTGAGGATGGTGGACTAGGTCAGAATATATAAGTTAATACTGAAATTACAAAAAGAATACAGTCCTCGTGAACAACCAACACACCTTAAATGTACGTGGAACACCTTCCTGTCGGCACGCAATGTACAGACATGCCGAGGCGATTGCATCATTAGCTCTGCCCTTCAAATTCTTCCCATCGTGTACTTGCTTAAACAGATTATTGGCACGATCAACAATGGTCTTCGGTAAATTTATACGGTCCGCCATGCTGGTGATTTCTCGGAATGCATTGATTAATGCTCTGTCAGAACTACTCATCTGGAAAAGATGACATTCATATTTTGAGTGTGGATGTATTTCTGAGCCTGCTTGATTTTCAGATTTCTCACTCACAGTATTTCAACTTGATAATTGTAGTTAACATAAATTCATAACACTTGCAAAGAATTATATTTTTCCAGTTTGAGAACTGGAAATTAACTGAACTGGCTCACATATCGCCAAAAGTGTTCTCAACCAAATAAAGACTTTTCTTCTCAACACTTTTCTCTACGAGTATTATGTACCAATTCCCTTCTTCAGTCTTTGGCCCTAGTAGAATCTATTTTGTGTGTGCATTGCACAGTTCAACAGCTGCATGACTCCAATCATTATTCATTACCCCAATTTTAGGGCTTAAGGCCTGCCATGAATTTCAGCGTTAATTTCTTCTGAACTGGTTACTAAAAACATAAATCGCATCATAGTCGGATATAATGACTACATATCAAACATTCAAAGGGAGAACTGTAATATAAAAAGTAAAAAACCTTCAATCTAGGTATGAACTTCTCAGTAACAAAGAAAAATGTTATGTGTGATCATGAGATAACTGAATCATCCATTTATATACTGCAGGACTTAATGGAATATTAAAATATTCTTCAGCAATATGCTATGGCAATGAAGAGATATGGGCAGTGACTACAACTGATTGCCATTCAATGTGGATTCCAAAGTGTCATGAGGATCTACTATACTTTGTTAAAAGTTAAAGTTGAAAATCTGAGGGTCCCAGTTATAGACTTTCAGCCATAACTTTCCATATCCTTATGCTCCATCTGATTATCCAGGGTTATTTGTAAGTCCATGAAACATTTTAAAAATTCACAACAAATAAACTATGCATTGGATCATGGTAATTCTTATGCCGATAGAGAATGAATCTCTTAATTTTTTTTAAAAGCCCGCATATATAGTTGCCATAGATCTCAGGGACCTTCGCAGCTGTATCACCGCTGCTGTGGCACTGGTCTACCATGATATGCTGACACAGGTGTGGGACGAAATGGATTATCACATAGATGTCCGCCGTATCAGCAAAGGTGGACACATTGGGCATCTGTGAACTATGGGGGAAAAAAAAAAAATGGCAAGTTTATCTCTATTTCAGTGTAATAAAATTTGGTATCCATTGCGTAGTTTACTTATGTTAATTTTCAAAATGTTTTGAATAACTTATGAATAATCCTGTATAATGATATGGCATAAAAAAGTAAAAGTTGTTTTAACTAATTAAGCACTATGCCATGAAGAAGTATTAGGAGAGTGCATGTATAGATCTGCAATGATATGGCATAAGCCCTACTAAATCTCGCAGAACTTAAAAATGGCATAACTTCACGTGTGAGGGAAAAAGAATGATGTAAGTATACTTGGTGGTACAAGGAATGTGCTCCCTCATCCATAAATTAACACATGCTCCTTTATTTTTGTTAGGTAGATCATTGGCTTTTTGTACAGGCTACCAAATCTGACCTAGGTCAAATAGTAAAGCAAAGTGACAATCCAAAAAAAAGTCTCTTTCTGAATGCATTTCAAGCATATAATAATTTTCATGTGTTGCTGAAGGTGCCTGTAGCTACCTTTAGCAATTCTCTGGGCATATCTAGACCATCTGTTACAAATTTCTTTATTGCAAATTGCTAGTGCACTTCAAACAAGGTAAGTAAGGAGCAGAGTTGCTGGGAGTAAAAGTGTCAACCTAGGAACTTACATAGTTTTGACAAGGCGAAATTATAATTAAATCATTACTCACTTCCTCAAAAACTTTTTTACAAAATCCAACAAAATACCCACTCATTCCACGCCTTCTTTAAACTGCACTGCTCAAGGCAGAATAATTTAAAAAATTTCAGAAGACAAAAGATCAGTTACAGCTTCCCAGAAGTCATTGTGTTTACCAATATAATTTTCTTTAACTGCATCCTTACCACTGTAAGAGATAATAGTTACTGTTACCTTGGGTTCAAATCTGGTATGCTGATGGTTCCAAGATAAATAAGAGCACTGGAGCTGGTGTGTTATGCTATGGCACGAGGCAGAAACTTAGTTTCAGCTTTGGGCAGTACATGACAGTATTCCAGGCAGAAGTATATGCCATTAAGGCATGTATTATGGAGAATCTAGATAGGAACTACAGAAACAGGAACATCTACATTCTATCTGACAGCCAAGCTGCACATAAGGTGCCTGACAAACATCAGATCAACTCAAAATTGGTCTGGGATTGCCACCAAACTCTCATGGAACTGGCCAAACACAACAGGGTACAACTAACATGGGTACCTGGGCATGAGGGTATTGCTGGAAACAAAACAGCAGACCAATTAGCTAAGATTGGTGCTGAACATCCAGTCACAGGACCTGAACCAGCTTGTGGCATCTCTATAGGAGTTGCCAGAAAGGCAATCAGGGACTGGACAAATATGAAGCTCAAGTTCTTGACAGGACTCAGGGAAGCAAAGGGACTCATATGAGGACCCTCTGCTAAAAGAGCAAAGGAACTGTTGCAGTTAAACAGGAACCAGCTACAATGGGTTGTGGGACTAATTACAGGACACTGTGACCTTAAAGCACACCTCATCAAACTGGGACTAAGTAATGGTCCCACTTGTGAGAGGTGTCAAGAAGAAAATGAAACAGCCACACATATCCTGTGTGGATGTGAGGCCTTAGCTTATTTAAGATTACATCACTTGGGTCAGTACTTCATGGAACCAAGTGACTATTTTGAGGTCCCCACATACAAAATCCTGTGCTTCATTCAAAGCGCAGGTTTGCTGAGGGGATTATCAAAAGAGGAAGCACAGTAGATCACTGTAGGTCGCAGTGCAAAGGCCAAGAAGGCCCACCCCTTATACATACATACATTCATTCATACCTTGTGTTCAAACTTTTATCTACAGGGCGAGCCCCAAATTCAACAGCATTGTCGTAGTAAGAAATACTTGTCAGGACTTAAACAGCAGGCAATTATCCTAATTGGCATATTTACACCATTCAAGAACTGCTGAGCCACAGAAATCTGCAAACATAGTGATTACACAACAATAAGGAAAGAATCCGTTCCCTGTGCCATGCACAGCCACAAAACACCCATTGCTAGACAACACACGCGACCAACAGTATAGGAATAGTGTTTTCTATATCTGTGGATGGACCGTTGCTATGTAACGTGCACTGTGATGTCACACAACAGTACGTGGCCATCACATGACATTTCCTGAAAGTGCGGTGACATCACACAACAGTAGTGGGTAGCAATCATGTGACATGTCTTTATGATGATGCGTTGTCTATCCTTTGGCTATATAAATGAGCGTCACAGTTCAGTCAGTGCTCGGTGCAAAACAGCCATGGGATGTTCATAGTGAAAGAAGACCTGAATGTATGATTGGAAGGCTTTATGAGTGTGATAGTCAGTGACAGTGAGTGATAGCTGACAAGTCAGCCAGTGAAGACTTATTGTGTGAATGGAAGGCTTTATTTGGAGTGTGTGATTCAGTGAGACTGAAGACTAGTACAGATAGTGAAGAGATCAGTGTGGAGTGATTGTAAATTGTGTAAACCCACAATAGTGTAATAATTAATTGTAGTTACAACCTACAGGTTGTTAATAAATACAATTACCAATCCGAATCCTGTCTTTAGTCACTAATACACATGACAATATTATGCTTTTGTTGTTTTTCTTCTTCTTTTTCGTGTTTTTGCTGTTGTGTCAGTTATGGAAGATCTCTACTTTGATTCTCACACATTCAAGACATTCTAATGTTTGCTTTGAAGTTAACTTATACACCGTGAATAAACAAATACAAATTTAAAGGCCCATAAGGCCACACCACAACCACCTGCATTACTTCATTGAAAATAACATTCCCCACATGTACCTAACATGAGCAACATCATGTTAAATTCATGTGTACCTAAGTAATTCATGTAATATTTAAACTGGCTGAATTCTATCACAAAAAATACCAGCATTACAAAAACAATGTATGACTGATAATACAAAATACAATTACTTACAGTTCTACGGTTCTGATATTTTGAAACGCCGAACCCATCAAAGGAAGCATCTCCACGCCCAGGCCCTATCATTGTCGATAGATCAGAACCATTAAGCAGTGGATTTTCGGGGCCACCGACTCGAGATGGGTCCGCTCCAGCTTTTTCATTGCTGAATGTTCGCCACTCGGAACCCACATCAATTACCCTGAAATGAATTGCGTAATAACATACACTCTCGTAGCTGTGTTTGTGTTTGACAATGTCAATTTTACTAACCTGTCACCGACCACAAGGCCACATTCGGAACATATTTGATCGCCAGCTCTGTAATCTTCGATCAGAGGAGCATCTGGATGAGCATAGCAGCATATTTTATTGGCGTCATGTCTAAGGAAACAAACATACACACCAAATTTGGAAAAATTGGATTAAACTTCAAACAAATATGAATAACCAACTTGTACGGGTCACATATTACATAAGAAAACTTCACACAGGAAAAGAATCTTTGCTAACACATTTATGATAAAATAAAAACCTACCTAACGGAAGCAGCCATTTTCATCCACCTTTCGCGAGTGACGAAATCGACTAAATAAACGGAAACAGATCACCTCCCTATGTCGTATACTCTCGTATCAGTCCGATCGGTCCGATGAGTCCTATAAATATATCACAGGACATGAAGCCGTCAGGTTCGCCAACATAATCCATACAAACTCAATCTTGTCGATCTTGTACAAGGAACTGCTCAAGTATCCGTGACTCCCACAATTACAGAGTGGTGCACGAAATGATCCAGGTGTGGGAACTGCCCATATTCAATAAAATGTGGCAACGCAAGCTTCATTGCTTAGCAACGACGAGTAAACAGCGGTTGCTAGGCAAAGCGAGTAAACAACGGTTGCGAGGCAAAGCCTACAAGAATACGGACAGTGACAGGTTTTCTATATGTCCGACTCTAGGTTATATAAGAAGATACATGGAGTGGAAGATATAGTGAGGGGTGAGTGAGGGTTGGTAGAGCTGACAGAATTGACAGGAGTAGGAGTTGAGTCAGAGTTGGTGAGTGTGTATGTGTGTGTGGAAAAGTTACCGTTGTGTTCGTCAAGAGCGACTCGACTGAGGAGAGTAGTGAGCTTTGTCAAGGCAGGAGAACAGCTACGTGTTAGGAGGTCGGATTGATCATTGAGTAAGGAGTGAGGTCGACGAGTGAGAACTTGTCTGTTCGACAAGATTCGAGATTGGATGTGAAATTTGGATTGTGCGTTACTGAGTGAATTCTTGTTATGTCTTAGGCAACATTGCTTGTGAATTCAGTGCGGGCAGTGAGTTGTGGCTTATTATCATCTAGTCTTATACGTCAATACTCGGCTGGGTTGTTGAATCTGTAAGTGTCGGGCCAGAGATGGCTGGCGTCCGTGTGCCGGGGTAACAGGCATTCTGGGCCGAAAAACGAGCCGCTCTACAGGCCGAATTTAAAGAAATTATTAAGCAGTACCCCGATGCCGAAACTCAATACAGGCGCTTATTCGACATCCTGTGCAGCACTGAGGACGTGGCCGGCTTCACAACTGCTGCGATTGGAGAAAGTGCAGAATGGGCGGCAATAGTCAGCGCCGAAGACGACAATAGGATTAATTACTGCAAGGCCCACTCCGGCAAGACGCTGTTCAATGCGCTCTATGGCAACTATACAGTTACGCTAAACGAGCTGAAGTCCCTGATAAAAGCCAGCTCATCAGGCACAAAAATTCCAGCCCGGGAGGAAGGCTTCAAAGAAGTCCGGAGGCGGAAACGACAAAGTACCGCTGAATCCGCTCCGACTCCAAAGAAAACAACGACAGCCGCGGAAAGGAACCCCAAAACAGAGGTTGCCACCAAGAACTACTTCGCCCACCTCAGGGCGACAACGATGGAAACGGACACTTCTGGTGCAGAAGCCACTACGCTGGAGGAGGAAACCTCAGGTAAAGCAGGCAGCCCCCCCAGTAATTCTCACGTCCACAGTGAACCTCATTCAGTTGCAGAAGCATCTGAAAAATGTGGTCAAAGGCGACTTTGAGTTCCGCAGTACCAGAAACGGGACCAGAGTCCTCACCAAAAGCATGGCGGATTTCGAAGCCCTCAAGTCCCATCTATCGAACAACAAACTTTCCTATTTTACCTTCTTTCCCAAGTCCCTAAAATCCATAAAGGCCGTAATCCGTCACCTCCCTCACAATATCCCTGAGGAGGATATACTTGTATCTGGTGGACTGGTGACCCTGGGATTTGATGTGGTCAGCGTCAATCAGATGACAACCACCCGCGGGTCGCCTTCAGAAGAAAGGACAGCAAGAAACCTTCCGCTCTTCCTTATCACCCTACCCCGGACGGCAAAATCGCAAGACATTTTCCATCTACAAAGCCTTTGCCACATTTCCATTCGAGTTGAGGCATATAGAGCACAGAGTGGCCTTACGCATTGTGACAACTGCCAATAGTTTGGCCACGTCTGGGCCAATTGCAAGCAACCTCCCCGTTACATGTGGTGCGGGGATGGCCACCTGCACAAAGAATGTCCAGAGAAGGAGAACGCTGCCTCCACTCCAGCTTCTTGCAATTGCGAATTGAAGGAAGGAGAGAAGCCCGATCCCGCCAACTATCGGGGCTGCAGACACGCGAGGGAGGAACTGCAGAGGAGGAAATCGCAGAGAGCACCCAAAACTACAACGGGAATGGTGCTCTCCTCGAATATCGTTACCCCTGGAGTCTCCTTCACGGCGGCGCTCCGTGGCAGCACATCGCAGGAGCAGCGACCTCAGACTCTCCAAGTTCCAGTGGCAGTTCCACCAGAAGCCACGAAACCGAGCGTCCCGGCCCTTGTACAGGAAAAAAAAAACAGATCAGTCAACTCAGGCTACTCATGTAAACAGTCCATCTCTCGACAATATGTTGAAAGTAGTGATTGTAATACAGCAGATTATGACAGAGGTCAGTGGTGCAGTGTCCGAGGAGGAAAAAATAATGGCCATTACTAAAATTGTTCTAAACCTAATGAAACAAAATGGCCACTATAGTTCATAGGCCCCTCAAAGTCATAACATTTAATGCGAACGGCATTGGGAGGCAGCTTTATGAGCTCAGTAAACAGCTGCAAGACCTGCACGTAGATGTGGCCCTGTCTTCAGAGACACATCTGAAAACTCATGAGAGCTACTTTATTCCAAACTAGCTGTACCCGGCCATGCGTTGCTGTGGCTCAGTCTGGTTAATTGGAAAAGAAAGAAAAGAGAAAGCGCACGTTTCTAATATGTTTAATTTCACAATGCTTGTGGGTATACAATATTTTTTGTTGTTCCATTGTCTGTGCAGATATAGAGATTGTCTGGTTTGCCGACTCTAGAACACGCAACATATAACTGTCCATGTGAGAAGCAACTGTAACCGAACCATTGAAATCCTTCCCCCCTCTTTTTATTTCAGTAGTTTACGTATAAAGTAGAATTGTGAGAATTACAAAGAAGCATAGGTTAAGACACAGTCAGAACAAGCAGATAGACCGAACTTGCGCGGACAAGGACATCTGTTAGTTCTTGTTTCCAAACATCTGGTGCTGCTTCGAAAAATGGCAGAAATGATACTTATTGGAACCCCCACTGAGTTTCTTTAGAAATTCAGAAGTTGACTTACGGCGGCGAGCCACTTTGAGAATTCGAGACGTGACAGTCGCCACCCGTCATAAGTCAACAGTGGGAGGGCCAGGAGTTCATTAACGACCCCTCGTAAGTTACATCTCTGTCAATTTTGCCGTTTGAAATTTTAGGCCGAAACTGCTTCTAAAACAATCGTGCATTGGCCGGAACCAAAATTAAGCCAACTCCTCTTATTTGAATCCACCTATCCGAGAATTTAGGAGGAGAAGAGAGGAGGCGGATACAATTAAGTTAGGACCTCTGGCTCGGCAGAGAGTCCAGTTTAAGATTAAGAGTCTGCTAAAAACCTTTGAACTTGGCGGAGGTAAAACCCGCGAATACTTGCGTGTTAAGATAAGTGATTTGAGCAAGTGCAGCACCGGCGGCTTGGAAGCCGAGACTAAGCCTTATAGTGTAGATTTTTGACTCCGAGTGACTGTGAGAAACAATAAAGTGTTCCAGTGGCAAAGTGCATTGTGTTGGCCAGAAGTGCTTCACCCTCCTTGTCCGAGCCTGACCCTTAGCCGAGCTGAGGAGAGAACTCATCGCCAGGAGCTAGTCAAACCCATCGCCAGCTTCCACCCCACTCTCGCCTTCCCTCCTTTTAAAATGAATCGCAAACAGCACCTAGCTGCTTGCTGGCGCCCATAATATCAGGTTTGATGTTGAAATTCCAAACCCGTAATCAGCAACGGAAGGAGGAAGCGGTGGAGTCGGAAGAAGCGGTGGAGCCTGGTCAAGCCGGAACCAGCCACGACCTAACAACTTCAACGGAGGCAGCACCAGGTAGGGCAGCCAAAGTGACAAGTGGCAACCACCTTGTGGGTAAGAAGCCTTCACAAAGGGGTGGGCGGTTAGACAACCCGTGTCTAGATCTAAACCGCACAATTCTAAAGATTGGCCCTGAGCTTTGTTGATGGTGATTGCAAACGCCAATCGAATTGGGAATTTCAATCTCTTAAATTGATATGGCACATCCGTTGGAATCATAGGAATGCGAGGAATGAGGACATCTTCACCTTTGAAAGGTCCTGTCAACATTGTTGCTTCTACGACGTTGCTCGATAATTTTTTACTGCAAGCCGCGTGCCGTTGCAAGGCTTTGGCTGGTTGATATTTCGCAACATGATAATTGGCACGCCTATTTTCAATTGCAGTACGTGCGGTGGCATCCCTGGCAGATCGAGTGAATTCAAAAATTCTGTTGGATAATTAACTGCTACATCTGCTTCCACAACAGTGTCGACGGACTTGTATGTGACTGCCTCGCATTGAATGTTAGACTGAATGACATTGTTAAGTTCGTAGACGTCTTTGTTCTTGGCCTCAAAAAATGCCCCTCGTCTTCGTCTCCTTCTGATTGTTATTATGTTATTATTATTACGAAGAGGAAGGGCACAGCGCAATCGTTACTGGCCCTAATGTTGGTTCCCACGCTCCCCAAGATGGACATGGGGTATCCAAGCGAGGAGGATGAAACTACACTCAGTTCGTTGGCTTAGATAAGAACAAATACAATTTTAATAAAAAATATATAACAATACATGAATAACAAACGACACATTTGACCAAGAAACTAATGCAAGCTCATTTAGAACAAAACAAATTCCCGTCGGCACCACTTGTGTCGACACTAGACATATTAGGACGTTAAACACTCAGGCTATACAAACACAAGTTTAATTCTGAAGAACTACCAAACCAAATCTAATAACGCGCGTCGCAAGCGATCAACAACGGCTAGCGACCGCGGGCAGTCCTTACCGGCCAGCCAGATAGCACCAAAAGGGAATTTAGAACAAACCCAGCCGAAACCAATTATTCCACAATAACCCTGCTGGCTAGTAACCGATCTTCCAAGTCAACTTGGTCTACACGACTGCACTGTACAAGTCTCCCCTTCACGAGAGGGTACATGGGACCACGTGACTGACGTCAGGATACTGCATAGTGGGGTTGGAATCCGTCAAGGGAAACATTATGACATCATACGTGAGCGAGCTAA